CCGAACTTGAAATCGTCGAAAACTCCAAGCCTTAAATAGCGCTTTGAAGTGGCACCACAGGTGCGCGTGATGTGCGTCTGCGCTAAAATTCTAATTATTTGCATATCTCACCTCCGCTAATGCATGTTGTAAATTTCATGTTATTTGCATGCTTCCTTCAGAGTGCATTTACGGTGGCCAGCAGTGTACTTCCCTCCACCATAACCAATATATCAAGGTTCCATATCGGTGGGAAAATTAACCGGCACAATAAAAATAATATGTTTTGAGCAATTTCAGAGACCAAATTCTTAAGGGCCATTCTTTTCATGGAAGAGGAGTGAATGGCAACACGTATATGTTACAGATCTGGCTTTTCCTGCAAAAACACGAAAACTTGAATAATTTTGTCTTTCAGAAGGATGGCGTGCGAATTTCTCAACAATGTTATTCCTAATCGCTGGACTGGCCGCACCAGAACGACGATCAAGTTATCCCCCGACATTACCCCATGTGATTTTTTATGGGGATTTGTGACTGCCATACAACCTGGAGGGCCTACAAACATGCATAGTTAATGCTCTGAACTTAATAACAAACGAGTGTGGAAAAAATTGCCTATTGCTTAGTAGTTTTCCACATAACGAGGAAGTCATATCAAACATTTATAATGACATCCTATAAAAGTATTTGAGTTGTCCTTTCATTTAACTTCAGTACGTATGTGTTTATAACTAACTGACTTTATTCTAATATGTTAAAATATAGTACATTATTTTGAATAAACCAGTATTATAAAAGTATTTGAGTTGTCCTTTCATTTAACTTCAGTACGTATGTGTTTATAACTGACTTTATTCTAGTATTAAAATATCGTACATTATTTTGAATAACCCAGTATTAAACTAAATTATCTACTTTTGATTATATGCATTTATTCAGAATATACATATATAGTGCTTATTAATATTATAATTTATGTATCTAAGTGTGTGATTACTATTTAACGTTAACTTTCATTTGTTGTAATCATAATAATAATAATAATAAGATGTGGACACCACGTTTATAAAATTCTACATATTTTTTTGGCTGCTTAAACACGGGATTAATATCGAATTTCATTAGAGGTATATTCTCATTCAATGAATTCAGTTCTCACTTTGCCACAAGAGGGGGGGGAGTAAGAACTCGAAAGCATCTTTATTAAAAATTCTCAAATAAAGAACAACATAAAACACCGAATACAGTTTTAAAAAAAATGTTTTTTGGGCAATTAGAATTTCTGCGCAAAAACAAGCTGTTCGGCCAACGTGTAGGACGACAAAATTTTCGGTGCACAAAACTGAAAGTTAACTTTCAATCCCACAGGGCAAAAAGACACTGAGTTAACAATTAACTATTCTACAAGACACTGAGTTAATTAATAACTATTCTACTAAGACTTTCAAATGCAAACAAATGGCACCTTCATTACCCTTAACTCGCCTAAAAACTAAGCTCACTAAGCTGGGTGGGAATACATAATTTTCAGGGCCGGCTAAGCTACCTGAAATATGGGAGCCCTTTATAAGTTTGTTATACTATATTTAAAAGTTTTTTGGGGCCCCCATCCCTCCCTAAGTTATAGCTTGTGTACCTTACACATATAAATACCAAACCATAAAATTCAGTTCAAGAGTAATATCGCAAAATAGTTTTAAATTGAGCATGTCTTTAGAATTTCCGAAACAGAGTCCCACGCACTGGAGATAAAAGTGTTTTTCCTGTACAACGTTGCCATTGCTCGCTTTGAAATCCTTCAGTCTGTTAATCAATCGATAACAAAACAAATTCCAAATTTCAAATTTGGTCTTCCACATGCCCATATTCGTAGGAGTATTATGTCATTCAAAATTCGATGTACCGTTGTTTTATCACAAGGCGAGAAATATACATACATTTATACAGATTTCATTATTTAATTTCTTCAAATATAATGCAGGACTCTAACATTTGGTGGCAACAGTTTGAAAAGTGAAACGGACATTTATAGCGATTCATTGCAAAACGAAAACAATAGTCCTTCAGGGACAAAGCCCCTTTGGACTAAAAAAAAAAAGGAATTCTTTTATGAACTTCAGCCTTAACTTTATAAATAAAATAAAAGTAAATAAACAAGTAAAATTAAGAAAAGGAAAACAAAGAGTAATGAATGGCTTTGCTTTTTAGCTTTTACTGTATTTGCTGCTTCTAATCTTTAGAAACGCTTTCAAGTATGTAATTAACGTTTTTTTTAACGCGCCTAGAAATCATTATGGTCAATTAAGAATGGATTATATAGTTTGAAAATATATTGCAAAATTTGCTGCTTTCTGTTGAGGACTGAAGTGAAAGAAACGTGACAATAACGGGAAGAAACTTTCAGCAAACACCAATGACAATCAGCATAGTTGCTCAGATCATACAAATTCATAAGCAACGGTGACAGACAACTAGTCAAATAATATTGCAATTTATAATAGCTCTGAGCATTGTAGGTTTTTAGCTGAAAGAGTTTTAGGTTTTTAATGAGGGACACGGTGATCGAACTGGGAAGGGCAGAGTGGTCCATACGGCAAATATCAGGTGACACAGAGCTAGACGCGTCCACAGTGCACTGGTTGTGACGACGATGGTTGGAACAAGAAAATACGGCAAGTTCGAGTTTTGGTGCAGCCAGAGTGACGTTAGCACGCGTGGTTCGACGCATCATAAACCACTTCTACCTCCATTCTATAGGATATTCAAGATACCCTGGATATATCATATCAACCAGAACCATTTACCGTCGATTGGTGGCTACTGACCTGCACTCGTGGCATCCATTAAGAAGGCTGCCATTGACCGCGCATTACCGACGCCAACGTCTGAAAGGCCTCTGCTCTCGAGCGACGTGGACGACGGAATGGCATAGGGTCGTTTTCTCAGATGAATAACGCCTCTGTTTCTCCAGTGATTGTCGTTGCGCACAGATGGCATACAATGGCTATGGATCGTTGCGTACAATGGATACGGATTTGAGAACACAAGGGGCAAGAAACATATTGCAATGCCAGAATATAACCAAGTAATACAATAAGTGGTGTAATGTAAAAGAACATAAGTAGTAAATACGCAATAATAATAAATAAGTAGTGCAGTGAAAAAGTACTACAATATCAAGTAAATAGCGCAGTATAAAAGTATATTTAGGAAACAGGTGATAGCGAGGACACCTGGCTTCTAACAAAGGTAAGCAAGTATACGTCCCACAGAGCAACAACTTCCTGGAACTCACTGGAGCCCCCTTCGAGAGTTAAGCGAACACGAATGCAATGAACTTGTTTGCGTTAGTGGTTCGCCGTATATTGTGATTCACATGTTCATACTATGTTGTGCTATGTAAGTGTTCAGATTGCGCACAGAATGCGGTTGCAGCTGTGCATTGCAAAAATATGCTTTTAGTTAAACTGAAGTCGGGGCAGCTCAGCGAGAGACCTGTATGACCTGGTAGATGCTCTGTCCCAGGGATGCAATTGTGATGACAGTCTGACATATCTTACCCACAGACACACGATTTTGTGTAATAAAGCGTCTTGAGTGACCATATTACTGAAGCAGTGGCTTTGGTGACAGAGTGGCACTGAAAGACGTAGTGGTCTGGGAAGCCATCGGATCCGTACACGGACATTGCAGTTTCGGAAATTGCAAAGCGAAGGAAATAAACTGGAAAGGGTCCGTGAGGCGTGACAAAGTTGTGATTTGTGGGACGAACACGTGTCTTTGAAGGTTAATTTTTGAAAAAAAATCCGTATGTACGTCTCACGGTATGACTTTAATACTTTAAGTCCCATTCTTGTTGCCATTTCAGGGTGGCTTTTAGAAGCAGCTTCTTTTTAAATTAAGAGGGACGTGCCGGAATATTGATTTCTTCTGCGTTTATGTTACTAACTTGCCTCTTTGGCAAGTTTGTCGGCTGTTTCATTGCCTATCAGAGCTGAGTGTGCTGTGACTCATACTAGTTGTATGTGTTTATAGGCACTCTTCGCAGAAAATGCTGTATACTGACAATGAGCGCAGAGGAGTGGTTTGATTTAAGACTGCCAGAAGAATGGACAAGCTATCTGAGTAAATAGTAATGAAAGGACAGGGTGAACCAAGAGCGTATTCAATAGCCACTGTTATGCTAGTGCTTCTGCCAGCAAATGGCTGTTCTAGGATTGTAGATAACATTTCCAAGTGTGAATTGCATGTGCGCCATACAAGTGTGAATTTTATGCTGCATTCTAATATGCAACTGTATGTTGCATTCCAAGTGTGGTGTACAGATGCTTCCCTGGCCACAGTTCTCTCCTGATCTCTCACCAATCGAATACATTTGAGATGGACGCCATTTGCAAACCCTGCCGTTGCCTGCGTTCAGAAGACGAACTGTGGCAAATGGTTGACAGGGAATGGGGAGCATGTCTGTATGTGAGAACCTGTATTTAATGTGCTTCAAATCACGACTTGTATCAGGCGCTGGGTTTCGTGCTCGGTGCGAAAAGCTTATGTGGCTCCGCCATTTTCCATCCAAGACGATTATTCCACATTAAGGTGGACGTGGCGCTATACTAATTAACCACAACGGTAGAGAGATGGTGCCCACATCCCCCCCGTCTCATAATCTATTGAGCCGAAGCTGTTCTCTGTGTTATGCATATCATCACTTTCTGGTCATTCCTTCTTGGTGTTGCATTTTCAATATCAGGTAGTGTACTTAACATATAATTTATCAGATCCATCTCACAAAAGAGTTGAGAATTATTTTTAGATTATATGATAATCTTTGTTAATATATTTTATAGTAGTTAGCATGTGCATATTAATTTACTCTTAAAAATGAACAATAAATAAAGTTCTATAAATTAGTTTAGATGACTAAAACTGTTTATTACTACAAATTTTAGAAACATATTAAAAGAATCTGAACTTAAAATATCTGTTTTCAGTCATGCATAAGATTTAACAAAATAACTTACCTCATTATCCGAATCTACTAAAGAAGGAATTAATTCAGTCTTTGTAAAATCCGAAACCTAAAAATAAAAACAAGCACAGATATTAGTTATTTCAGTTTTATTTGAATGTAAGTAAACCAGACATTTGGCTGAATTTTTAAACCATATGCTATTAAAAAAACTTTCATTTCAAAAGAGGGTTCAAAACCCCGCTATTTAACCATATTATGTTATTAAATTCACTGTTAAGAATTAAGGGCTAAGAAATTATACTTCTGTCAGATTACTTTATCAGATTGTTAGAATTAGAATTCACTACATTAGCTGTCATTAGCTACATTAGTCATTAGCTGTGAGAGCTTTTCTATTAATAGTGTTACGAATTTCGCATTTAGTTAGATATTTATAATAGAACTATAATTTAAATTGTTTTATTTCCCCGTGCAATGCAGCGCGTGACGAATTTTAAGAGAAAACTACACCGGAAAATTAAAAATACAAAAACACGTGCATTTAATATTTAATAAATAAGTATCCCTTTTAATTTATATTTAATTGGAATAAATGTAATTGATTAACGTAGCAGTAACTGTACTTTTTACTCTTTTTGCTTTCCTGAAATTGCTAAAACTACCTCGGGCGGCCGATTTAAAAATGCTAAGTCGGAGAGAAACATTTCAGCTCAGTTGCTGTTTTAGTGAGCTATTGTTGTGGATTATAGCGAATTCGCGGTGTGACGGATTTGCTTTCTCTGCGCTCTATATTGCGTTCTATTACTGTTTTAGTAGTTTAAAATATAGCTACTGATTATATTGCGTGATACTGTGATATTGTATGAATATCTTTGAGGAAAAACCCAGAGTTTTGTTATATTTCTTGTGATAAGAATAAATTCTGTTAACTTTTCATCTGACTTGTACATTCAATCTATTACGAGCCCGTACGCACGCAAAAATACTATCATAAGCAGTTTTGAAATCAATAAAGAGAACATCATATATTGGATAATAAAAAAATCTGCATTAGAAGTATTGGAATTTGACAGCAAGAACTTATCTGATGCGACATTAATGAATATCTTGCTTTAAAGAAATGAATGATACGAATAAGGACGGGTTGACGTCAAAAAAGTTTAGTTCGTGTGAAGGGAACATAAAATCTAAGGGTTTCATCTATGTGCATTGAGATCTCTGTAGCATGGAACATCCTTTATGCAAATGTTCTTCAATATCAATGCCTCAAACCATAATCAAATAAATCAAGAATCGAAGTAAAATGCAAGTCAACTTTTACATGCTGAATCTGTAAAAATTCTGATCACGAGAGTTTCATTCATATTGATTCAAAACAGAAGTCTCATTTGAAACAAGCCCACCAGCGGCCGACCGAAGTCGGTGAACACTGGTAGTTACGACCTGGATTCAATTCCAGGAGAACGGCCTCCATGCATGGGCGTTTTCGGGGTTTTCTCCATGTGTAACGTGTACACGAGGCAATTTCCTTTAGAAAATCTTCCACTAAGGCATCCATCCTCTTACACAAATTGCCCTAGTGTGCTTTGCCGTAATCAAATGGACCAAAACGAAACTCATTTGCAGCATTCAGAGAATGTTTCAGATGAGTCATTCGCGACTAGCGCCGAGAAGAAAACAAAATTATCTGCTTCAGTTGCACAACAGTCTGTGGAAGTGGTATGGTGCCATATTAACCAACAGATGCAAACAAATTGGGTTGCTGTGTGCGATATCATTATTCACCGAAAATGCATTTGGACAAATAATTAAAAGGAATCCTAGACTCTGGAAGCAGTTGATATAATATACGAACTGCTGACGCAGTGGGATTGAAAAAGCCAAAACTAAATAGCACCGTAATAGGTTTTTAGGTTTGGTTTATTATGGCAAAGTACTGGTAGGCTTATATAAATCAAATAATGGGGTTTCTCTCAATTCTATATATTGCTAAACGGGAGAACTGTAGAAGTTACTTTCCATTGTGGCAAGATTTTGCACTCATAGGTACGCATTTAGAGCAGATATTAAGAAAATGTATCGTGAAACATTAGTATATGGAAGTTAATAGCTATTTATAATGAATATGCGGAAACCAAATCTGTTTGCGTTCATGGATATATTGAAGGATGTTAATTCTTTGTGCCCAAATTTTGATGGAGGTATGTTCAAACAACAGACCATCCTGCTGACAGCATTTCCAGAAGTGCATCAGCTTAGAACTACGGAAAAATTTCTTACGGTGGAGTGGCTCTGCTTGGTTGACTCTTGAGCTTCCAGCACCAGGTACTTGTGCAACGTGGGTAAAAACTTTGAAAAAGAACTAAAACCTTCTAATTTACCAATTTTACTAGTTAATTCAAACTGCGTCTTTATTGACAATTTTTTAATAATAGTAGGTAACAACTGCACTAAATGTGTTGAATATTAAGCTCACGTTTTAGGTTCCATAATATGAAACATTCCAGGAATTCCAAAGAGATACCATGCTGCAGAATTGCATGAATGGGAGAATAATATTGTATGTTCATTAGCAGTAAACAATTCATAACAGGACACTTTTTAGTTCTTTTGAAAACTGACGAAATTATATGAACATTATAATTCTATAAAAACATAAAAATTATTTACAAAATAAATTATTTTAATTCTTTTTAAAATAATGATTTTATACTAAAAAAAGGTTTCATTTTAGTGAGAATGAAATCATTTTTCTTTCACTTAGTAACTTAGCATGTTTATTAGACATAAAAGTCTTCCATTTTATTATTATTAACATTTTATATACACTTGGTTTCACGACATTAATTTCTATAAAATACCTTTAGATAAAATTACTTAAAATGCATGGATACAATTCAAATTATAGTTATTACATGCAGTCACAATCTCAGAATATTCTAAAGTGATTCCATAATTTAGCGGTGTTGGTGTTTCCATGGGAACCCAAATTTTATAATAAAGGACCCTGTGTAGACAAGATGCAGCCAGCTATTCCAGTGATATTCGCAGAAGGGTTAGAGATCTTATAATTGCAGAACAGTCAAGAAAAGTGGCCAGGACTTTAATTTTATGCCATTTTGTCTCAGTTATTGCACGGACGGTAGGATGTCGTGGCATCTCTTTCTATTGTCATACTTCAGAAGTGCTGGTTGTTATGGGTTTTGTGATGTCTTCATTAGCATTAATTTCACAAATCTGGTAGTCGTTTTTAACGTGTTTCCTCTAAGTTGATATCTTGTGACGGTATTTCCATTTTCAAGAGTAATCTGATCATCGTTGTGATCTACTGCCACTTTTGTGATCTTGCCAGAGATTTCATTTTCATGAATGTCAACATGAGCAGGTATACAATGCATATCTTATATAGATTATAAATTTACCTCAGCTGATGCTGAATAACTTGGACAAGTGCTGACTCATCTTCCTACATTGCAAGTCACATACGACAACCAAACCATTTTCTTTTTCCATTTCTCCAGTAGACAATATTCATGTAAGGATTTGTTTATTGCTCTTAGCTAACTGGGGAAATTTGAGGCGAAGTGTCTGTGCCACTTTTATGGTTCACGATTGTACCGTAATATATGTGCCAGTTATTTTTTGTATAGTTTTGTCCGCTGAGCCATCAGTATTTCTGAATATGGTAGTAAAGATGTTATTTGCTAAATTTAGATATACACATTTACAGACTGCAGGGAGCCAAGTGCTTTAGCGTGGATCTGATGCAGTTTTGGCTGGAATGGAATCAATCCAGTAGCCTCAAATATCGTTCAGAAAACGTAGTGAAGGTTACAAACATACAGCACCATGAATAGTGTACCTATTCAGTTAATAGAAATCAATACAGTTAATCATGTTTAGATTTCCTGTCAAAACCACATAATTCCTTTCAGCATGTAATAACTTACATCTTCTTTTATCGGTGGTTCTTGTGTTCTATTGGCCAAACAAAGACACTTTCCTTTAACTAAATCTATTTAATGAAGAGAAGACTATATACAAATATTATATAGTACAGATTACAGAGTATCTAGCTTATGCCACTCTCATTAACCTCTCAACCCTCTCTGCCGAAACTCTTAATTAGCTAAACATACGGGCGGCGCAGCGCCCTCTATCTCTTTTTTTTTCTACATCACTCCCCACCTGTACTCTTTAATAAGAGTACACAAACCTACTTACATAACAATATCAACATTAATTAATAATGGATTAATACTAAATGATATGACATATATAAATGAATAATATAAAAGAATAATCTATACTAGTATATCAAAACCACAAATGAACATAATAATTAATAATATAATAAAACTCAACAATATCAAAAGTTCTAATTAAATCTCGAAAGGATATAACATCTGGATCGATCTTCTGAATTGTCCTTTGGGCGTGCGAACGAGGCACGCTCGAACATGTCCATCTCTTCCTATAATCACGTTTTCAATTACACCCATGTCCTAAAGTAGTTTGGATTGTTTTGGTCCTTCTACCAACACACCGTCTCCAGTCTTAAGGTTCCGCTCAGTTTTAGTATTAGCAAAGTTATGCGCATTTCTAAGATGGAGTAAATATTGCTCTTTCCACTTGATCCATGTACCACGTCCTGGCAATAAAAACTGTGAAGGTGTGAGCGGGCGAGGTTCATCCAGCTCGTTGCTCTCGTATGTTATAGGTCTATTATTTAGCACACACTCGAGTTCAGTTAATATTGTAGAGAGCTCTTCGAAAGTCAGTAATGCTCTCCCTAAGATTTTCTTCAGAGGTTCCTTGATGCTTCTCATCAAACGCTCCCAGAACCCTTCCCACCATGGGGAACGCTCAGGTATAAATTTCCATGTTACCTCTTTGGATGTCAAGAAATCACTCACACTTGGATCTGCTTGATTCTTTAATCCTTTAATTATTTCACATTGCTGCGGAAATTCTTGGCATTATCTGAATAAAATCCTTTGCAGCTCCCTCTTCTTGCTAAAAAAAAGTCGTATGAAAAAATGAAACTTTTGCTGACATATCTGAAACCACTTCAATGTGTACAGCACGAAGTGAGCGGCGCATGTAAATAAGACTACGTACACCTTTTTGTGGATATCCTCTTTCTTAACAGTTTAATAGTAACCTGCTCCCGTTAAGTCGATGCCTACAACTGTGAAAGGATTACTTTTAACTACACGATTTCTTGGTAACACTGCCCGTTAATTGTTTGGCGAGCTTCACTGCGAACGTTTTATACACCAGGCAAGCGTTAATAACATTACTACTTGTCTTCCTTTAGGTATCCAAAATTTATTCCTGACTTTGGACAATGTTGCCTATGACTCCTGAATGGAATACTTTTATGTGTTCACTAAATATCACTAGTTCGGTGAACTTCGTTTTGGGCAGAATAATGGGATCGTTTTCGTCATCTATTAATTCTGCTTGTTCCAAACGACCTCTGACACGCAAAATACCTCTACTGTCCAGATATTGTGCTAAACTGTAAAGCTTAGAATCTGGTGTTATTAGATTATTCCTCCCTAGTTGTTGAATATCCGAAAAATAATTTTCTCTCTGGACTTGTTTTATCCAGTATTCCTCAGCTTCTTGGATCTCCAATACAGTAAGAAGACTTTCTTCACAGGTACGTTTTTCTTAGCTTGACGACAAACCGCTTTACTCAAGCTGTAACTCTCAACAATTTTTTCAGACTGCTGAATTTGGTTATGTTTAACACAGTTTCTCTTTCTGGAATCGTCACCTGAACATAAGTGCTTAAGCGTTCCAAATTTTGAGTATCAGTTTCTACTTTAACTTCTGCTCAGGCCATTGATCTTCAGAATCTTTCAACATGATGGACATGCCACCAGTTATTATCTTTCACCAATGCATTTGCTGTTTCACCACGAGTAATTTATCTGCTGGGTTTTACGACCCTGGACATATTTCCACTTATCAGGCGAGTACAGTCTTGTATTTCTGCAACTCTATTCGATACTAACTGCTTCCACTCACGCGCTGACCCCTTTATTCACCACACAAATTTCGGAGTCCGTCCACAGAACTAACCTACCTACCAAATCCTGAACATTTTCAATAAATATTTCCCTAACCTAGCTGCAACTACAGCCCCCATCAATTCCAACCTAGTGAGGGACAACTTTTTTACGGAGCGTCCTACGCTTCGACATTATAAACGACTACATACCTCTCCTCTCTCATTCTTATATCTAAAATATGCCACCGCTCCATATGCCACTACTGACGCATCACTGAAATATGAATTTCAACCGACGGACCTTTACTTAGAACTTCTGTAAGTAGTACCTCTCTATTTTCAACGCGTTTAATTCCTCAATTTCAGCGCACCACTTTATCCATTTGCACCGTACACTCCTTTGGCAACTCTGCATCCCATTCCAAACCTCTCTCCCATATTTCCTATATCAGTCTCTTAACTCGCACCGCAAATGGAGAAATAAATCCGTCTGGGTCAAACACCTTAACTGCTGTGCTTAACACCGATCTTTTACTATTTCTCAACGATTCTAAACTACTCAACAATGATGTAACGTCTACTCTCAAACCATCCTCTTCTAAGTTCCACACCAAGCCTAACACTTTCAACTTACTATCTCTCTCACAAACCTACTTTCTTCATACAACCCTTTCTGAACCCACAAAGTCATACAGCTCTTTAGAATTAGTGTTTAGCTTTCTCAAATTGAAACCTGCGTCTCTCAGAATAAATACCGCCTCTGATGAAAGATTGAAAGCTGATTCTACACTTTGCCTTCCATAACACAAATCGTCTGCTTACAGTGAGCTATTTAGCTTCTCGACACAGTTTTTGTTTTTGTTTCCGCATATTTCTTTAATGGTGTTTGATCGTTGCACTCAATAAAAACGGTGAACAATTACATCCAAATAATACTCTGTTCATTTGCATAATTTTAAAATCCTCACTGTCATTATCAGGATACCAGAGAAATTTTAAATATTGCCTATCTTCCCTTGCTATCCCAATCATCAAAAACGCCTTTTCTATGTCACCACAGAATCCAATTTTAAATTTTCGAAAGGCCAGAATGATATCCAAAATATTCGGATTTAGGTTTGGGCCCTTTTCTAAGCAATCGTTTAACGATAGCTTTCCTCTTTCGCAACTGCTGCAATTAAATACCATTCGAACTTGAGTGCTTTTTTTATCTTTAACGGACCACTGCTCGAATGGCATAAAGTACCCCCCTCTCTCGTATCCTCACACTCTTGAATAATGTTGTTTTGTGTCTTGAAATTTAATTATTTCCATAAACGGTTCCCTCACAAAGCTGTTACCCTTTAACTCTCGCTGCACCCTTTCGAACTGCCTTTTCGCTAAACAAAATTATTTTCCAAATGCTCTGGACTCCTATTCCACACAAGCGAGCCTCATACCTTCCGTCTACATATTTCAAATTCTCTTCAAATTGTTTAATTATTCGCTCATCGCCAGAACCCCTTTCCGACGCGCACTCTGAGATTCCTAGACTTTCAATCATCTCCCAAGCTGACGAATCTGTTTCCGATATTTTTAATTCTCTCTTCCGAATCGATGTGTAAGCAAGCCGGTGGAGTCTGACCCTGAACTTAACTTCTTACTCTCTCCCCCCACTCTACCACTCAACGTCCAACCGAATATGGTTTCATGCAGTACTATATATTCTGTTAACCGTTGTTTTTGCCCGTTAAGATGCAGTTCAAGTAATCATTCCCAATTAAAATCTGTACCTCTGCCATTCACTATCGCAGCTGTCAGATAAGTGAAATCCTTGTTGGCGAAGATTGTTTATAATTTCTGCAGATGGCCTGGGTAATGCATTGGAACATATGGTTTTTACTTCGAGTGCTTCGATGATTAGAGTGAACCCTGTCTTATTTTTTTATTTTTAGAGAAAGTCTTTTTCTTTTAAATTCTCGCACTGGTGGATTCGAAGATGCAAATGTATGAATTCTTAATCTTTCTGTACCAATAGTTGGTAAACTTGCTTTTCTGGAAATAGACTGGCAAACATAAGATAAGTCGCACGCAGTCTTTTGAGAGGTGAGATTTAAGACAAAAGTCGCACATATTATTTTCGACTGATGTATTAAACGTCGCCGCTGATACCATTTTCTTTTTAATTGGAGCAACACTTCTTAAAATAGTTGTTCGGTATCTCTTTCACTTGATTTCGAAAGTGTTATGTTGTTTAAGATCCAGAGTTAAGTGACTTTTTCGCGCGCGCTTCTACTTCTCTTTTTAGAAACAACAATAAATCTGACACTGTTTTGACTCTGTGTCGACCTTTTGCTCCCTACTAAACTGTAACACTAAATCTTGCGAGTATACACTTATATAAAATAGGAAGTAATAGATTGCCGTAAGAATTAAAATTAATATCTAATGTCTCTAAACTTCTTTGTTTGAACAGTTATTTCATCATATAGTTTTCTTAAACTGGATACAATCACTTGAACGGCGTACTGGCTCTAAAGCTAGTAGAACCTTCATATGCGCGCTAACTATATTCTTTTTTTCCAAATCTGTCAGTTAAGATTTCGATGGCCTTTATATAGTTTTCTCCTATTAATGGCAATCCGCTTATAGCTTTTGCGGGCTGAACCGGTGAGTAAAGATCTTAAATATTAAACTTCTCAATATCTTGAAGCGTATTGTTTTCGTGAATGGCAGCTTTATACTGAGCCCAAAATTCAGTAAATTTACATAATCGCCGCTGAAAGTTTCTAAGGTAATGCGAGGCAATTTAGTATTATAATTAGTTTTGATTTCCGAAACTTGTGAAGTTGTTCCGGTTTTACCCACATTTTTAATATATCTATTGACTTTCGATTTACATCTAATGATGGATTCGCTGTATTCTAAACAATTTTCTACTTCTGTCTCTAATTCCTGAACAGTGCTTTGAGCAATCATATTTTAACAAGCTAGTTTCTCTCTCGATTAACACTGAAAGCGATTCCTGCAACACTTCTAGGTTCGGATTCTCACTTTGCAATTCCTCATCTAATTTCCTTATTAATTTTGTTACACTGGTACAAACCGAACCTCTAATTTTTCTATTTCTCTCGACGGTTTCTTCAAAACTCATTATCAAAGATAAATTACAGATAAAATGAAATGACTCACCTTCTGGCCTGATGCTACCAAAAACTTGAAGTATGTAATAACTTACTTACATCTTCTTTTATCGGTGGTTCTTGTGTTCTATTGGCCAAACAAAGACACTTTCCTTTAACTAAATCTATTTAATGAAGAGAAGACTATATACAAAATATTATATAGTACAGATTACAGAGTATCTAGCTTATGCACCTCTCAACCCTCTCTGCCGAAACTCTTAATTAGCTAAACATATGGGCGGCGCAGCGCCCTCTATCTCTTTTTTTCTCCACAGCAAAGCTACAATTAATAGTTCTCCCCCCCCCGGCACAATATTAGTTCCAAATTTTGTTCAACATAAAGTTTTACAATTAAATTTTTATCACTTATCTTTTGCTTAGATTTTCAGTTATTATAACACTATTTAGTTATAATCTAGTTATAATCACTATTTAATTATTCCCTTCCTCCACAATTTTAATGCTCCTTCCCATTTTCTTCATATGAATTCAGTGTTTAAAATTACAGGAACTTTTTTTAAACTAATCAGTACACAGTTCAATGATTTGGCAGTTAAAAATACTAACCATTTAATGCAATATGCAAAAGACGCCAGAGTTCCAATGGCATCTTTAATTAGCTACACAACATATTTCAACAATGCCATTTATTCCTTCAAGTTACACCACAGAAACAAGATAGTAAAATAAAAATCTTACCCGTTTCACTAAAAAGTACAGGATATATTTAATAGCAGTATCTCCAATTTGCTTCTGCTCGATAAGCATGTATTGCTTAATTCTCTCAGCCAGGAGTGTTGTGTTATGCTCAGTACTGCTATTATTCATTAAGCTCTCCTTTTAATAGAAAATAAAAGTTTCTTAAATGTATTAAAATAAATTACAAAAAATTACAACATAAAATTACTTTTAGACAGTTACTTGCATTACTTGAATTTACGCATACTAGAATGGAGAAAAAAATTCCAAGCAAATATATAAAATAATAAATGTTTGCTTAAGCAGTAAACCCCTGGGAATAAATAAAACTAGTTCTGCAATGAGATCAATTGCGCATGAATGTTTAAAAATTCCAAACACATTAAAAAAATAATGAGTGGATAAAAAAGGTGCAAGCAAAAAGGTAGTGCAAATAATACAGAATAAAAAAATATGAAGAATTTAATCTCTCGGAATGAATTTGGCGTCAGATGGTCAGGGTATCAAGGATAATTGGACATTGGTACAGAACTACTTCATTTACAATATATAGTATATATATAATAAAACCGGAATAGATTTTCATAACAAATAGTGAAATTTAAAGCATAAATAACGTATGCACAATATTTTTGCTGGTACCTGCAGCGTAGAGGGTTTAAAAAATACTCATTATGATATTTTTGTAACATAATATTAAATACAATTAAAATTAATTTCAGAAAAATTTAATGTAGTGAATTTCACAAAAGCAACTACATTCATATACGATTAAAATTTCAAAAAGCATCAGAATCACATAAAGAGCAATTCCTCTAAAAAAGAAAATTTAGATCAACATATTAGTGCAAATGTAAATATATTAATTATAGAAATTTATAAACTTAAGCTATCAAATTGTGCTATATTACTAACTAGATAATTGATAATTAGACTAATAATCAATAATCAATAAGCCCAGTACCTTAGATTTACAGACATAAAGTTCATATTTAAAGGGCAGACCAGAGCAATAATACAGGCCTCAAATCAAATCAAATTCGGCAGAAGCTTTATATTTTCTATTTCTTAAAAATGAAGTCATATAAAGCCAGTTTTATGATGCCAAATCCAAATTTTCATAATTAAGTTAAAAAATTGTTTAGTTAAATATTATTGCTTAAACCTTAAAGAGATTAAAGGGAATTAATATGGAATTATATATGTATATCAAGTGATGCGTCTCTTTTGAAGCAGCCACACATAAGACTACCAAAATTTTAATTTTGCACATTACAGACTGAGTAATTAAGTTTGCCACTTTTGACAATTAAGTTCAATGACTACTTTATCATTCTTTTTCTTAGACTAATTAAAAGCTAGTAATTTTGCTATGATTGATTCTTTAGGAATATAAAATATTTACAAGTATAATTGAAGTACAAGTATAATGAAGTACAAGTACATTTAAATATTTGCTTTGTCTAATAAAGCAAAACATTTATGCATGTCGTTATTTTTCTTCTAATGAATAATCCTTGTAAATAAGAGATAATACAACCAATGTTTCCACATATTTTCAACTTCTGAAAGATATTAAATCATAAAGCCTAGTTTGCATTATAATCACATGGAACTAAACAGAATATCTGGACTATCTAGACTAGGGATTCCCAACATTTTTGTCCGTAGGAGCACATTCTACAATATTTGTTGGACGGCGGGCACTATTTACTTTTCCAAGGTGAAAAGAATAGAGTTAAAAATAATAATACATGCACATAAAAAAAGATTGGCCGCATTTCGCTTTCTGCTGGTATCTGTGTTGGAGACAATTTTTATTTCATTAAAAATGACAAAACTTTCACGCAGAATTTTATTGAAAACTAAAACACTTTTATTGTAATCGCACAGCCATGGTGCTCGCGAGTATAGAGTTGGGAACCCCTGATCTAGACACTATCATTACTTTATATGAATGCACACAGTTCAGACGCTACACCTTTCCACTGGAGGTAGGTCAGCATTTTTAAACACTTATTTCGCTAACAGATATTTATGTATATTATTATCGAAACATTGTACGGTAATTTTTTTTAAGGCTACATTATATTTATTGCTTTTTCCTTAAGAATATTGAACATGAAGATATGCAGCACAAATCGTTTGGTCCTGTGCCTTCATCTTCCATAAAGGTAATGATGTGTTCAGAACTCAGTTCAAGTTAACTACAATAGCTGACAGTTTTATTTGTTTTTTCAGCCATTTACATTTGTGCTTTTGGTCTGAATATTTCCTGATTTGCTATTATTATTAGTGATATCTCTAGTGATCCTAAACCTATCTGTCAAATCTGGCAAGCAAATGAACTGGACTTGTAGAATGCAAATGAACTGGACTTGAACATCGGTGCACCAGCATAGAAGTGTGCACAAAAAAAAAAAAAAAAAAAAAAAAAAAAAAAAAAAAAAAAAAAAAAAAAAAAAAAAGCTTAAATAGCATTTTTCGATACATGAATATTATATTTCTAAATTAATGAACAACCGAAAAGTAGATTCCAATGATTTTTGTTTAAATGTTGCAGAACAAATTTTTAATGTTTTATGTAAGAAATATCATACCCAAAGAAAAATAACCCATAAAAAATACATCACTGTATCTATGTGACTACAAATTCTTTTACTATCCATCTATACAACATCAAGTATCATATACAAGAAATATTAAAAAAAAAAAAAAAGTTCGTAAAATTTGTTCAAAACCCAATAAGACGATTAAATTACTTGGAAATGCTGATGTTATTTGATGATTCCAGTGGTGTTTTGACAAATATTAAACTGAAATAAAACTATTAAATACAAACTCTTGCATCAAAAAGTTTTTTAAAAAGAGTTCATCAATAAATATTAACTTTGCTTGTCTGTGCTAAATAACTTTTTGTGCTCATAGAATTCATTAATTAAATTTTAAAACATTGTATATTTCGTTTTTCTTACATTGCAGCCTCTTGAGTAATGCAAAATAATTCAACAGGATTTGTTTATAATGCGCACAAAATGACTGTCACTTGAATTCATTAAAACCGTTCTGCACTTGATATTCTTTAAAGACAGCTTTAAAAGGGTAGTTTAAAGAACAGAACCCACAAAATTTTGTACTTTTCCGTTACGCACCCACCTGGCATTTTGGGTGTTTTCTAATAGTAAAGAAAATTCTAGTTGAAAGAGTAGTTTATAGATGGTAAACAAACACAAAGCTAATGGTAGGTGATGGTGGATCATTAACCATGTGTCAAAAAATAGGGCAGGTGCACAAAGGAAAAAGCATCAAATTGTATTTTATTACTATAATAGAAATGAACACTTCTGCATACACGCTGTATTCACTAAAGTCCTTTTACGTAGCCCTTATTTTCGTAACTGTTAGCCATAAAAAATTAGAGTTAAGAAATGTTTAATGATGTAAAGTTCTGGCACTTAAAGATATTACTTTTTTAAAAATGATCTTTTTTAAAAATGATAAAATCTAATTTCTTACAAATTCCTCTGCTAATACTTATATTTAGGAAAATTCAGACTTCGGAGACCCAACTTTAGCTAAACAATTTTCCTTGCGATGACTTTTGAGAAAATCCTCTGGCACTGAAAGGAATCACGGACAAATGCTAGAAAACTTGGTCACTGAGGTAAACAAAGACTAAATGACGTCACCAATACGTCTTGGAAAAAGGGTAGATTACCATCTGAATAAAAAAGGGCCATGATTTTTCCAATCAAAAAATCACGCAAGAAGGCATGCACACCAGAAAACTTCAGACCCCATCACTCTGCAAATTTAAGAAGTCTAATATTATCTAGATTGCAACAAATTAATACCCTGAGAAGAGTATAGCTTTAGAAAATGCCACGGCGCTTCACATCAAGTTCTGTATCACATAAAGTTCTGTGTCAGATCATAAGAGATGATCAAAATCTTAAACCTACAGTAGTTGCCTGACTTGACCTCAGGTAGCCTTCGATAAAGTATGGAAGCACAAACTGATTTAAAACTATATGACACTTTAAACCTTCGAGAAAATGATTTATCATGGATAGCAAGCAGACTTTCTGCAGCAAAGTCATATTAAAGTAAAATGTTAACAAAACGATCTCAATCTCTTATGAACTTAGCCAAGCTGTTTCTCAGGGATCAGATCTTAGCCCCACATGAGAAAGTGCCTTCTCTGGAAACAGGAATTGGAATACTGCACATGACACTGTTCTCTGGACCTCTGATGTAACTGAAACTCAATAATTCTTCCAATTTGCTGCATAGCTGAAAGTATGTTTTAACCCAGTCAAATCAACTGTTACTTTTTTTTCACTACAAATAAGGACCTATACAAATATCAGTCAAAGCTGAGGCTGGATAACCAAGAACTTACCTAGAGCACCAGAATAAATATCTGGTTTTATTTTTTAGCCTGATTTCACATGTCACAAGCATATCGAACATATGTTCAAAGAAGTAGAAAACGGCTGGACATTCTTAAATACACCGCAGATAGGGAATACTTATTTGGCACTCAATTCGACCCATACTCGAGTTTTGAGTTTCCAATTTATTGTTGTGTCTCTGATTCTAGTCTTATATTAGAAAAAGTTCAATTAAGTGCAGCTCGTATTATTACTTGGGTTGAGGCACAGCTGCCCTATGGAAAGTGGCATTTATATTGAGGCCCCTCGGGGAAAAATGACTCTGTCATTGTAATCCAAATCACTGTTCTGTCCTTACGAGTGAATTGACAGCAATCAGTTTAGGGCTCGAGACCATACTGACAGAAGAGAATTTTGGTATCTATGGATTTTATCTGATATACGTAGCTCACTATATCTTGATAATTGGATTCTTGTAGGCGACAAAATCAGTATTTCTATCCTACAAAAACTACAGTAAATTTTCCAGAACCATGATATCCATTTTCAGCGGAACCCCCCTCATGTGTATCTTTACGGCAACGAAACAACAAAGGACAAATTAACAAAGGAGGGCTGTGGTCTTTTAACTCCCTCCTCTTCCGCCCTCACCTATCTTGAAAACTATACTCTCTGAAAAAAATCAAAAATCATGGTTGCACAGTTTGTGCCCCCCCCCCAACCTATCAATGGTACTTGGCTAGCAAGCCTGGTTGGACTGTAAAGGCCCGTTCCCACTGGGGTTTATCTGAGCTAACGAACACAACTAACGTAGTCGACCCATTCCCAAAACCAGTTTTTCCCCTACAGGAGTAGCAAGTTGAAAAATCTGAACTGCAGGCACAGCGGAGCTAGTCGACACAGGGAACTGACTCCGTTAGCTCAGATAAACCCCAGTGGGAACGGCGCTTTAAGGGCCGTTTCCACTGGCTTTATCTCAGCTAACAAAGACAACTGACGTATCCTACCCCATTTCCAAAACCAGTTTTTTCCCATTGGGCAGCAAGTTGAAAAATCTGAACTGCAGGCATAGAGGAGCTAGTCGACACATGGAACTGACTCCGTTAGCTCAGATAAACCCCAGTAGGAACGGGCCTTGGAGTTTATCTAACGAACACAACTGACGTAGCCGACCCATCTCCAAAACCAGTTTCCTCCCATAGGGCAGCAAGTTGAAAAATCTGAACTGCAGGCACAGCGGAGCTAGTCGACACATGGAACTGACTCCGTTAGCTCAGATAAACCACAGTGGGAAAGGCCATTTAAACCTTGAGTGTGACAGGAGCTCCCAGACTGCGTTCTCACATACTGCCAGCTGACACCTAAAGTACCTCTCTTTTAAAGTGGGCATGGCAATCTTTCCCACATGCACCACCAAGCTTTATGAACATCAGGCTTCTGCCGCACATATTTTGGTCTGCTTAGGGAAGTTATTTATCCCAATCCCCTCCTTTTATAGAGACAACGGTCTTTTGGACCTTGTTTGACTTCATCGCAATCAGGAGGAAAAGCCACAACATAAACAAGACAATTTCATACTCATTATAAATATAAAACACTAACATTTTAAAACAGATATTAAAACTGGGAATTATATTCAAAGGCCATACATAAACTGAAAGCGAAAATTTGCGAGCGAAATGTTTGTATTTGTATGTAGTTAAAAATACGGTTTAGACAAAGGTTTTTGTTATTAAAATATTAAATAAATAACAATTCTATGCAGACTTGTGTGAAAAATACTGATGAATATAAATTTTTCAAAAATGAAGATCTCATTCCTAGAATCTTAGAGTTTGTGTTCCAGAAAACACTAGTAGTTTTCGGTATTGGCATGTAGCCAGTGCCAAATTCACCTAAGTTACACAAGCTATAACTTAGGACCCCCCACCTTTCTTGATGACTTTCTTGAAAAATCAGAGAAGCGTTTTTCAAACCAATGCAGATACTGCTCAAAAAGATTATTCCAGACCAGGTTCTTAAACTGTGAGTCGCGGAACCTGCAGCAGAGGGTCGCCAAAAATTTTAGATATTTCTTATTATAATAATTTTACAATTACCAAATACTTTTACACAATGTATCTGAAAATAGATAAAGACAATACAGACAAAGAAAAAACGTTAAAGTTTCGACACATTCTTTTTATAATATGAACGCTCATTTTACTTGCTTTGCACGTGATGGTGTCATTTCATCTGTTACTTAAAATTTTAACATTGTTTTATGTCTTAAAAATTAGAAATTATAGTTAATGACCTAAAACTGCAATAGAATATTTCAGTACAAGTGAAAAAATTGACAGTTTCACTCACATGTGTCGGATTTGCGCTATGCTTATAGGGATCCCACGAAACTTTCATAAATATTAGCGTCCCGGGGGTCGCGAAAAAAATCTCAGTAATAAAAAGGGGTCGTGACTGAAAAAAGTTTAGGAAGCCCTGGGGCTTAGAGTATCATCAAGTCTAAATCCGGTCCTGCACGTAGGCAATTCATCATGTTATTTGCATTAGTTAAAAATAAATACAGTATAATTACAGTACAAATAAGTGCAAAATACTTATTTGTAATGTAATGATTTATTTACGATTACCATATAATAAAGCAATATAACTTCATAAACATATTACTAATGTATTTTTAAACTTTGAAAACATATTAAATGCACGGGTGAAAATTTCTTCTGCTTAGCCAAATATAACAAAATTATAAACAAAGACATTAGTAAATCACAAAAGAATATTAGTGAATGTCATTTTTTTGGGGGGGGGGAGCAATCAATCTTAAACAAATTCAAAATGACGTCAATTATTGCATATTCTGAAATAAAATAATAACTTGGTGAATTCAAATCGTACAAGAGTCAAAACGTTTTGTATTTTTATAATGGGTATAAAGGGACTGGTTGAATGTGTAAAATTTACAGATTTTGTACTTTATAAAAAATTAGTTTTTTTAAATTTAAAATACAAAAACACGAATTTTTGAGACATTCAAACATTTTTGTAACTGGAAGTAGGACTAATGGTTAAGAAATTAAGAGTCAGACCATGACTTTTGTAGATACGGTGCATATATGAACTAGTGAACTTTAAAAATTTACACATTTCCTTCTTTAACCGCATATTATGCTTTTTATACCACGTATTTTTTCAATTAGAAGACCAAAATTCCATCTTCTCATTAATTTTGCATCTTTATACATGAAAACTATAGAAAAAATTTCCATCAAAGCCACAGTCTTTCATGTCTTACTTTCATTTCTTCTCGTACTGCATCTAAATCCTTTTCTTCCTCCAATGTATCCTCAGACTGCTCATCTACTATTTCTGAATTCCAAATCTTCACATTTTTCCCATTAAGAGTGGTTTCTGAACTACAACATAATAATAATAATAATAATAATGCATAAAAAGAATTCACTCTTATAATCACAAAAAATGATTTTTTTTTTCCATACCCAGAAATGCAGAACAAAATATATTTCTATAAAATCTGATACAGTTGATGGCCAGCTCTGTTTATTTATGCACTAGAAAGCCCGGCAGTCATACGAAATGACCGCTGTTCTACATATTATAAATTGTAATTAAAATGATTTGTGCAAAGGTGTCTACTAATTCAAACTGAATTACACAGGGCAGGCGGCGAGGACGCACCTTTGCTTACTGTCCCACGGGGTTCCCCTTCTACTTACTTAATTGCTTAAAGTAGAGTGCAATGAAGGAAACCACTGGCGGTACATTTCTTAAGAGCCACCGCTAGAATAAAATGTTAATTCACATGTCAAAGATCTCTTTGTATACAACATTTCTTGTGTAGACCTTTCCTTCATTTTTAAGCTCGCCTTGCAGAGGACCATCCATTATTTTTAATTGTACGTCCGTTCTTTCACGAACTCCTGAACAGGCAACATAAAATTGACCGTGTCCAAGTGCAGGCTCAGGTAAAAAAATGCCAACACGCGCGTTTGGCCCTGAGACTTATGGATGATCATAGAAAAGGCAGGTTTTACAAGAAATTCAACAGGTCTACGTCTCAATTGAAACGGCAACCCTTTGCCGTGGCAACTTCACCCCATTGGATAACACAGTTACGCAAGCAACCAATAAACTATTGGCAACAAACAGACACTTAAGCCGCCTATAATAAAGATATTTATTTATTTCATTTTATTTGTTTTTTTCATCGGTTGCCGGTGTTTGTCGTTTGCATATTTCCGAATTCTATAATAATACTATATAGATGTTAAATTTATTTATTAAATGTTAAATACACGTGCCCTTGTATTTTTAATTTTTCCGGCTTAACTTTTTCATAATATTCGTCACGCGCTGCACTGTACGGGAAATAAAACAATTTAGAGTTACGCAAGCAACCAATAAACTATCGGCGACAAACACTTAAGCCGCATTTACAGGGTGGCGCAGGGAAACAGGAAATTTTGAACGTTACAGTTGGCAGTCCTGTAAATCCGGCAGTTACTCGAAACTTTGCACAATTGTTGTGAGCGCATTGCCATTGAGTAATCATGGATCATTGGATCGGTGCGGAACATGCAGTAGCTGTTAGAGCGTTTTATAAAAATGGTGATAATGCGACTGCCGCGCAGAGATTTCGACAGCATTACCAGCTTGGATGTCATGGACATGTCTCATTTGCGCATGCGATTACAACGTGGGTGCGTAATTTTTAAGAAACATGATCTGCCTTGAAAAAGAAAGCTCCAGGTGGCATTCCAACGGTTCAAACATTCTTTAAACCGAGACTGTACGAGCTTAATTTTAACATCGAAAACATGTGGTTTCAGCAGGACGGCGCCACGTCACATATTGCTCGACAATCGATGGCAGCAGTTCGTCAATTGTTTGGAAGACGCATTATTTCATGTAACGGTGACATTGAATGGCCTGCGAGATCCCCTGATCTTAGTGTGTGCGACTTCTTCCTGTGGTGATATCTTAAAGGCAAGGTGTACCGTCCATGTCCTGCAACAATCCATGAAGTAAAAGCATTGAAATAGAAATAACTGCCATTCCCCAAGATTTGCTACACCGCGCATTCCAGAGTTTTCATAACAGGCTGTTAGAGTGTAAAAGCCGAATGGGAGCACATCTTTCCGATGTCATCTTTAAAAAGTAAAAAGACACTTTTGGACATTTTGATTGTAAAAACATAAATGGCATGCTGAATACATGCACTTTCGTTAATAAATTACTAGTTTTATGAATTTATGAAGTTATTTCAAAATATATGGTGTACAATTTAAACAACAATTCATATATGACGGACCTGGCTATACATTTGGCGGGCCAATACGTATATGACAAGCCCGTCCCGAAAGAGTTTGCAAAATGCATGAAAGAGGGTTATAGCAGCATTAGAATTCTTAACACAACGGTGAAAGCAAAAACATATGATTAAAAAAATGAATAACGTTTGAGTACACTTTTTTATTGTACATTTTGTTTTAACTGGATTTAGGATATATACCATTTAACAACGAAAGACTTTTATTTTTACACTTTGATTACATTAATGACAAAAAGCATTCTACAGTTTCTTCACTCTTACATTCTGTGTACATTTTACAGTATCCAGGAGATGCATTACAGTTATTTTGTATACATTAAAATTTGATTTCGAAGGGGCTGTAATTAGAGTCAGCAAATATGGTAGGAATACTTTCTGTATAAGAAGCCGTTGTAAAAGAATAACGAGTTATGAACAAAGAAAGAAAAATATATGAAAAAAAAATACAGATACTTAGAACCACCAGTTTACAGCTTAGAGCCTGCTATTAGAGTCTTATTCTGTATGATAATTGCAGCTGATGTGGCCTGCCCTACAGTTATTGGCATTTGGAAGTTTAGCATTACCCACAGTATAGCTCAGAATTTTAACTAATAGATTGCCGCATTTTCCACACTTTCCAATCACTGAGTGACACACTTAGAAGAAAGGAATTCATCAACAAAGCCAAGTCAAATCAGGGCTAGTAGACTTCTTCCCTTTTAAGGAGGCTCAATTCTTCAGTTAAAATTCAAAACCTATCTGAGGGTCATCAATGCAAATAGTTCTATTTCTACAATAATCAACTTCTAGTTTAGTGCAAAATGCTTAGTCATGACATGCTCCAAACCTTTTCAGTGAAACTTTATTTAAGTTTACATATTACTTGATTTATACGGAGTTAATAAGGTATAAGAAAATTAAAATAGTTTCTTTAAATTTACTTTAAATATCAAAAGAAATATAAATTGTTCATTATTTCTACCTTAAAAATATTATGAAAAAAAATTATTCCATGCCTGGATCTTTCAGTGAGCTGAGAACGAAGTATCACATATATAGAAATTAACAACACAAGAAGTTAAGTCATTACATGAAATTTCTTATATTCCAAATACTTACTTGGAAGTTTCCAAATCCCAATGATATGCATTAACAAAGAACTTTTCAGCATTCAAATGCATCGTTAACGTATCCTGGTAAAGAAAATTATAAAAATATATTTGAATAGATTTAAAAAATTGACAATGCAATAAAAAGCACAATAAAAATCCAGCGCCTGAAAAACGCTTCCAAAAACCCATTGCAAAGACATATTTAGGATATTATGTAGATATGTGAAGTAATATTTTATTGCAATAATAATACATAAATGTTAACATTAGTACTGTTACCTTGTTTAATATCATGCTTCTGGAATGTCTTCTAAAACATTATCTGTACGGTTATACCCTAATTACTTACTAAAGGGAAAAGGATTATTTTAACGCCACTTGGCATCACACCTGTAACAGAAGACAGAACAAGGAAATAAAAAGGCAGAACAACAGAACTTCACCAATGGTTGTAGAAGGTATCCGGACATAATCCCGACAGCCGAAATCCCGACAAGCCAGAATCCTGACAGACGGAATCCCGACAAGCCAAAATCCCGACAGGGTCGAAATCCCGATTGTCCAATATCCTTACAGGGTCAAAATACCGACACGGGCGAAATCCCAATAAGGCCTAATGACCCCTTAACATACTTACACAGCTGCAACTAGTATATGCTTTGATAACTAGCAAATCTGAAGAAAATTACAAAAGATTATTCCAAGATTTAATTGATTTTCGCTGAAGAAAATATATTGAACTGAGGCCATCTAGAATGATTAGTGATCTAGAAAAGGCAGCTATAAATGCTGCTCCGCGCACTCAAAAAAATGCTGTCTAGGATTGGCACAGAAGATGGGAGACCTTAATTGGACGGGCCATGTTGGCGTTTATAACATCATAGAAGGATTTAAAAAAGAAAGGAGCATGTGGAATACCAAGTTGAATGCATTCTTCGCGGAGAACAACCAAAACGTAGGAAGGTAGATGATGACAGAGAAAGGAGAATTATGACTGTTGTGGACGATCGTGATGGAATATCTTTGTGCTATCGCTCGCAATGTGTCACTGTAAATATGTCGTTTGCATGTGTAAGTGATGTTCTCTTTTTCTTAATAAAAAGAATTTTATAAATTTTCATTTCAAATTTTAACGGTCATTTCAATTTGTTAAAAATTATTTTAAGTAATGACATAATTTTTATGATTTTTTGATTTAAACTTTTAATTAGTAATATGTAATAGTTAGTTAAAAATTGTATTTTATTAAGCTAAATTGAGTGTTTGTACTTAGATATTAACTTGTCGGGATTTCGACCCTGTCGGGATTCTGGACAGTCGGGATTCTGACCCTGTCGGGATTCTGACCCTGTCGGGATTTCGACCGTGTCGGGACTTTGGGTTGTCGGGATTTTGGACAGTCGGGATTCTGGCTTGTCGGGATTTCGGCTGTCAGTATTATGATCCAGACCCGTTGTAGAAGTATACATCCACCTTATTAACTGTGCAGTTCTGCCTAATTTTGATGGAGACCGCTATAGGAGACAGAAGAGTCTCTTATTCATCTTTACCTACTGCCAAACCTTCCAACAGGACGTTAGGCTTGCCAATATTTTAAAGTATCCAATGATTACATTTGCGAATATCCATACCTTCTCTCAGGGCCCAAAGATACGACAGCTGCTAACCACTATGCTGCTCACAGCGGTATAAGAGAAAACAGTACGCAGTTTGAAATCCATCAATAATAAATTAGGAGGAAACCTAATTTACTTCCAAGTAAGTAACTGAAATGACGAGGAAGAGAGAAAAAGCTCCCAAAGGCATTTCATATTTTTAAATAATCATTACAAGATACGGGATTAAAAGGAAAAGAAAATCTGAATGGATTCAGATTTTAAAGTTGCTCCAGATGGCTTGTTAAAAGTAATTTATGCTCTTGCAGAGCTCAGTTTATCTACCTGCATTTGACAGACTCCTGTTGATACACTTGTTTTGCCTTTTTAACTTTATTATTAAATATAATTTTCTTCACACTTCTGAAATATAAAATTCTACAGTTAAATCAAACAGTTTTTAAAAATGGCATATCTTTAGCCCCAAAATGGCATTATTCTCGAACTTTATTTCTGTACCGAATCATTTTTGTTGTCTGTTTCACTTTTCAAATTATTAGACCCTGGATCAGCTGATAGGTGCCTGAAATAGTTAAAAAGAATAACTAAAATAGTTATAAAACTGTTAATGTAATTTCATGGGTTCAGCTTTTTATTATTAAAAGAGAAAAAATAATTCCATTGCTTTTAAAGTGCTAAAATTGCTGATCCATTACAGTCAGATTAAATTTAAGAGAAAAACTAAATACAATTGCGTTATACAGGTTCCTGGATATGGAGTGATTGACGATAACACTTGATAAAGAATCAAAACACAATTTATTCGCCAGTATTACGCAGACCAGTTTCAGAGACACATTTACGATCGTCGAAAATTTACGACAAACACGCTGAAACAATCAGCAACACAGCCTTCAGGCTACAACGGTGAAGACAGCTTCACGGCAAAGCACTAAAGTACAGCTCTCGACTCGGTTCGGTAATCCTCAAGCTAATATCTGAACTCAAAACACTATTACTGAAGTCAACATCCTCTCAAGATACTCTCCTACCAGACGTACAGGCATCTTTACAAGTCTGGCAGCATATTCAAATTTTGTGGTCAATGGGATTTCATAAAATCAGGTAAGTTGTTTTACTTTTACATGTTTACGGCCTACAAAATGCATCGGCTTTTATTTTCAAATGAAAAAATATTTCCCAGATGTTTTGGGTAATTTTGAATATAGGTTTTTTGATATTCAAGTTGATAAAAATAAGCTGACTATTTTTATAATTTTAAATCAGAAAATTTTCCTATCATACATTGCATTTTTTATGAACTTAAAACTAGCCAAAATTTTCATATATGATATTTGGCATTTACAATAGTTGGAATGGAACTGGAAAAATACTGAATGAACAGTACCAAGAAATGTGATATTTGGCATTTACAATAGTTGGAATGGAACTGGAAAAATACTGAATGAACAGTACCAAGAAAAGAACTGAATGAACTTACATCCCGTAAAAAGTATCTGATAAAAGAAACATACACAGAATATCTCATTTAACTTAATATTGTTACGAAATGTACAGGCCCGGTAAGATGGCTTCCCAGCAATGTAGTTTTAGGGTTGCCATACAATAATACACAGAGAAGGCAAGGTTGCCAAATTTGGCGAAAAATCGCCCATTTGGCGATAAAATTGGCGATATACCATGGATGGATGGAGAACCTTCTGGAACGAAATCTTACCGGTTTAGCCCAGATTGTTCTCGAACACAAGCCGAAAGCTATATAAACCCTGCTAGTTCGCAGTCATTTGAGAGTGCTTCATCGAGAGGGCGAGTGAGAGTACCTCGTCGAGTGTGAGATAGTCAGTATCGAGTGAGTGCCTCGTCGAGAGGGCGAGTCAGAGTGTGCCTCGTCGAGCTGATAGTCAGTCATTGAGTGTGTGTGCCTCGTCTAGTGATCCGATAGTCAGTCATTGAGCGAGTTTCTCAAAGTCCAGCGCCGAGTTGATCGTTGATCGCGAAAGAGTCTCGTAGTGTATCGCGGTTAGTTCATCGTCGAGAAAGCGTGTTGAACTCCGGGAACGACTGAACCGAAGAGTCGGGAGCTGTGCTCGTGTGTCGTCGAGTGCATCGCGAGTTGTAGCGTGGAGAGTCTCGAGAGTACGTGGAGTTCCCAGAACGACCAAGCAGACTCGCGGGAGCTGTACTCTGCTTTGCAGGAAGCTGTCTCCACCGTTATTGCCTGACAGGTGTAAAGGCTGTGTCGCTGATAGTTCCAGCGTGTTTATAGTAGACCTTCGACGACTGTAAAAAGTGTTGTTGGAGTTGTCCTGATTAATATTGACTAAATAAAGTGTGTTTCGATACTTCATATCAAGTGTCGTCGTTATTCACTCCAAATCTACAAACCCCGTACGAACGTGAAGGAAGAAAAATAACGCAACAACTGATGTCAGAAGAAAAGAAAAACGTAACAATATATTTATATGCCGTTTAGGTACTTAGCCATTAGGGGGAGAACAGCTTAGAAATGACACACTTTATTTGCACAACTTACATTTTGAATATTAGTTTAGATAAAAATGCTTCTTTTAGCAAACAGAACACAATTTTATAAAAAATAAATAAATATATGAAATCAATTTCTATTTTTTGAAACTTTTATTGCATAAGAATAAATAATATGACTTTACCTTTGTTTGCTCAGCAGCAGAATCAATTGAAGCTCTTACCAAACAAAGTAATGAATTGGATAAATTTGGATACCTCTCTATCTGTAAAAAACATATATGGAAAAAAATGCGGGAAGATGAAAAAGGAGAAGGCAATGAGTGAGAAAAATACTTAAGAGGTTTTTAAAAACAGTAATAAATAAAAACAATTATACACAATAATTCTTCATCAACATATGATACTTAATAAATAAAAAGCAGCAATTTACATTTACTTATTTACCTTTATATTAACAGAAGCTGTTTATAAAACTGCAGAATGTCTAAAGACTCATAATTAAATATCGCAAAAAGTACCATTTTAAAAATATCACAATTATTAATAACTTATAAGATTCTTCTTGTATTGCATGCACAACTCTTTTTCGCATGTATAAAACTGAATGCATAAATATATCTCACAGACACAATACACTCCATGAAGCGATATACAAGAAAAGGGGTATTACATGACTTGCAGATTCATCAATAGCCATATTCAAAATCTCAGCTATACTATTTACAAAATTTTGCAAAGGTTCTTTGTACTCGGTCAACAATATTCCACAAGCTGCTTCTAAAGCTATAGATGGAATTGACAGAATGTTTCTAATAAAAAAATAAGAAAAAAAAAAACATTTTAGTGGAAAAAAATAATTTTAAACGTAAAATTATATCAGTAAATTTGATCGTTAACGAAAAATTAATAAATCTGAAGGATAACAAATTTCTCTCGCATAATTATACACAACAGATGCAATTCTAAAAATTAATTAAGCATTCGTAAATGAAACATAACCTTTATACTTGTGCATACTATTTTAAGTTGTATTTCACGTATGTTCTAAAATGCAAGTGAAACATAGTTACACAATTATTTCAACATATATGATGTAATTCAATACATAGAGAAGTATAGAAATAATTTAAAAAGAATTCCAATAACTTGCACATTTTGGAACCAAGGTTTAAGCACATAACAGAATTTTGTAGATTACAGCTCATGTCTTCCTTTATTTTTATTTACCATACTCCTAATTTTCCCATTAAACTTGGATTGTTTATGCATATATAACTAACTGAGAAATACTCACAGCTTAAGAATCATTTCATTACGATACAGTATTACTATATTTTTTTTTATTTCATTCAAACACAAAGAAAACAATTCCAGTACAAAGGGATTATGCATACTCTTTGATGAGAGAAAAACAATTTTTATTAAATATTTTTTTTATTTCATTCAAACACAAAGAAAACAATTCCAGTACAATGGGAATATGCATACTCTTTGATGAGAGAAAAACAATTTTTATTAAAAGAAAGGAATAAAAAATTTTGGTTTTATTAAAAGAACGGGAATAATTTTTTTTCTGTCTTTTGGCTCTTGTTATGCTTTCCAAACACAAAAAAAGTCATTAAGTGGTATTTTTATAAATATATTTTTATTTACGATCAATTGAAAAAAAATTGGTCACTTTGCAAAACAAGCTAGCTGGCAAGGTATATGTAAACTGCAAATCAGTGTCTGAAAATATTGTGGATAAATAAATTCTTTACAATGTTAACAACAGATAATTTTAAAAGGCAATAGAATATGTTCTAAAACGCAATGTTGCATCAAAAATGAAAATTATGCAGAGATTCACAGTAAATGTTTATTAGAAAAAGAAGGGCCCTCATTGCACACACTAAAATGGCAAAGTTAATTCAAAAACGATACTCACTTTCACAATCAAAGCATGCTACAAAATGTGCTTCTTAGTTTATTTTGCATTTTTAATCATGGAAAAAATTAGAATGCAGAATTTTCTAGAAACTGAAAATTTGTTTACTCACATTTAAAAGTTAGCACAGATTACATGTACTTGTGGATTTCTGCAATTCTACAATTTTTCAATCATTTACCTTCTTTTTCTACGATTTAAAGATTCATACACAGTTCATGATTGGATATTTTTATTAGCAAAGTTTAATTTTAACCTAAAATGCTATTTTAATTGTACGTGTAAATTCGTTCAGTTATTTCATTACCAAATCAAAATCAACTCTTTATCTAATAGTAAAATGCTATGATTATCTTTGATTGAAGAGTGTTAATGCTATATTTAATGCAATGTTAGTCTGCACCATATAATATAAATAAATATAAATGCAGAAATTACCATAGCTAAACACAAAATATCAGCAGGTTTCAATATAAAAAATTAGGCATGCAATTTTCTAAAGAACTTACCGAACACCATGAATATTTGCTATTAATATCATTAATTCCTCATCCGATGGAATAGGAGGCTTTAAAAAGTGAAAAAAATAAAAATAATTTTTCAGAAGAACAAAAAATAAATACATATGAATTAAACAATGACTACATAATAAATTTTCAGAGGGAGGGGATTGAAAAATTGCTTTGTCATACCTAATTTATTAAGAAATTTCCAGATTAACATAAAAGCTGTTTAAGAAAACGAGCTCGCTTACATTTTATTTGGAAATATCTTATTTACGTTAGAAAATGAATATCAGTTTTCCTTATTTACTGAATTTTACTATCTAGGTAATCAATCTAGTGTTTTTTTTTTTAATTATACACATAGATGGAACATGTATGTAACTCATGTAATGTAAATGTCCCCTTCATTTTAATGTAAAAACAGACGGAATTAAGAGCTTCATTCTTCAAGAATTAAAATTCGTATTTCTATTTAATGAAACAAGTATAGAAGTTTTGATTAAATTCCCATGTTTCTATCCTAGTCCTTTTAAATAAATCAGTCAAGGAAATGTTGTGTAAACAGCAAAGAAATTATGTGTAAACAAAATAGGTTTAGACAATATTTCTAAATGCATGTGAGATGTTTTATGAAAAATCCATCTATTTTGATGGACTTACAATGAATCTGTTGTAAAAGAAATGAAGATTAATGAAAACAATTTTTAATATGATCTTCCCAGAATAGTCTCACCGCTTCATATCACCTCTACTAGGAGGCAACATGAAGGGCAAGACAAAATTAATAGTATTTTTAATTATTATAATACAGCATACTTACCAACTTCAGACTCCTTAGAAGATCAGTATGTAATTTGTAATTGATCAGAGCGCCATACTCAATTTTTTTCATATCAATAAGTTCACAGTAACCAAATAATTTAATATGGAGATCATCTATAAACATCTGAATTAACCTGAAATATTTACGTATTTAAATTTTTTTTCTACTCAAAAGTGATGTGCATAATGACAATTCTAACCGAATGAACACAATATATTAATAAATTTTTCGTAAGGTTATTAATTATAGAGAAATTAAAAAAATATATACCTAGAGAGATATTATACCTTACACAAAATGCTGCTTATTTATATATACAGAAAATGTGTGAATGTATGACAATGAATAATAAGTTGTTACATAAAATAAAAATGCCAACGAACCAAACTCAGAAATCAGAATTTTCTATAAAATTACCGATTTATCCCCCCCCAACAAAAAATTTTAAATAATGACCTAAATTTTAGTAGTACCTGACTGACATCTGGAAATGAAGTGCTTATTTCTTAAATGCAAATAGTACAAAAAAGTTATCATATAATAAAATTTATCCTATTATATGTACCTTCTAACATAAAAATAATATTTTATTTAGTTTATGTACAACTGCTGACAAGAGTGTAAGATTTTGCTTTCTGGAAATACTTATGCACTATCTACCAATAAGTATTTGGACACCTGTGATAGAAAAAAAAAGAAAATTTATGTTAGATCCTTCACAAGCGGTAATTACAGACCGAACTCTCCCGGGCATTCTTTCCACAAGTCCTTATATTGGTACTACTTTCTTCCACTCGGCTTGGAGAAGACATGTAATTTCTTTTGCTGATGTTAGACGGTTGTTGTACCTCTTAATTTGGCGATCCAACTCGTCCAGAGTTCAAGATCTGGGCTCTGTGCAGGCCAGTCATTGGTTTAACCCCATTGTCACCATAACGATTCATGGTCAACCTCGCGACATGACAGCTGGTGTTGTCATCCTGAAAGTAATACAAGTCCAACACATAAAACTGCCACAACGTACGAAGGAACGCAGGAAGCACACTCAAAACAGTGCGGTAGGCGTCACCGTTGAGCTTACCATGAATGTGAACCAAGGGTCCCAGTCCATACCAAGAGAAACAATCCCAGACCGTAATTTCACCTCCACTGAACTTTATTGTGAGCATAATGTATTCTGGTAGGAGAAATTCTTCAGGAAGATTCCAGACCCTGCCATCTGAATGTAAAGGGTGAACCTTGATTCGTCGCTCCACGAAACCCATTTTCATTGATAGACGGTCCACTGTCAGCGGCTGGGTATGGTTCTTCCGAATTTTTCTGATCAGCACCCATCTTTCTCTATCTCACTAGTTTCGTTGATCTGCCAACTCGAGGCATATTCCAAGAATTATCGCTCACCTTCCACTGCTGAATCACATAGGTCACTGTCAATTTTGGGTAACTTAGCTCGCTAGATATGCCCCTTAGGATCGGTTATTCCTTTGGTACCACATAATTACACCTTTCTCGGAATCAGATAACTCTGCACTTCATTGCATCTTGCATGCGACTAATGTCAATGTTGTTTCCTACACGATGTTTAACGGCGAAGGGTGTGATGTATATCATGAGAGCATATATCGGCATTTGCATGGGTTTGGTTTATGTTATTACGGCGAAGCCTCGAGATTATCTGTCTCAGGGATGCCTACGTGGAGGACTTTCTAAGGGAAACTGGCTCATATACACGTCACACATGGGGAAAACCACAAAACCGCCCACGCAGCCAGCCCGTTCGCGAGTTTCGAACCACTGTTCACAGACTACCGCTCGACCACTGGTGGGCGCATTCGCATGGGTGTCCAATTGCTAGATAGTATATTTTGTTCAGTTATTGTTATATAGACCTTCTTTTTATAATTTAAGTTATTGTGATATGAGTAAGAGTGAATGGACCGAACTACCAGTGTTCCCCGACTCTACCGCTCGGCCGCTGGTGGGCGCATTTGCATGGGTGTCCAAATACTGTAGTATATTTTGTTCATATTAATTGCTTTATAGGCCTGGTTTTGCTAATTTAAGTTATTGTGATTTGAGTAAGCCTGAATGGAAGCTTCATTCTTGCCTTAGTAACAATACTGAAAAATTCTCTCCTACTGTGACCGCAGTTTATCTATTGCAATATCAACATCATCCCTCTAAAAGCTGAATGATGTAACACTCGAACGTTGAAAAGAAATGTAGTATCTTGTATCTGAAAAGATGTATTTGCTAGAGCAAAATCTTGTGAATCTTTAGTAATCTTTTAGTTGTAAAATCACATCATTGTTGACTAGATATTTATGCAGTGTTTAATAACACATTCATCAGAAGTAAGTTTTAATCCGCAAGTAAAACTTCTGAAAGTTTTTCATTATTTCAAAATTTAAGTAGTGAAAGTTAAAGTCTCTATTACCAAATCTTCATCAATTTTTTATTTTATTTTTTTCAGTAATTAACATGACACAAAATAAGCTTGGTCTGCTTTTATCGATGCTTTGAGGAATATTAAGCTGTTATAGAAATCAGAAATCATGTTTTGGGGAGCAAATAATAAATTATCTAATTTACGTATAAATCATAACAAATGTTAAGAATTAGAGAAGGTAAAAAACACTGGAAATCATGTTGGTGAGGATACTCGATTTGTAGTGTATTTTTAATTTCTTTACTAATTTCCAGTACTTTCAAAAACTGGCAGAGTTCCATTTAAATCACTAGAGTTGGCACCTTTGCGTAATATATTACATATCAGTTTGCCAATGCCAATGAGAAAGTATTACAACGCACCTCCACATCAGAAGAGTAAAAATAAGCAGACTTGGAGAAAAACAGAGAAGATGAGGAGTAAAAGGAAAGCCTGCGTGGCTGAGAGGCAGAGGGGAAGAGAGTGGTTGAGAAAATAAAGCGGATAATTGACGAGAAAAATCAGAGTTAGTAAAAAAGGCGTAGAGAACTATTGGCAATGGCAGTAAACTTAACTGTGAGGAGCTAGATGAGTGGGTGGAGACTTGAATCACAGAGTTAGCAAATAAGGCGTAGAGAACCACTGGCAATAGCAGTTAACTTAACTGTGAAGAGCTAGAATCAGGCATCCAATCAGAATTAATCTTCAAATTCAGAGTAGGATAGCATAATTTCTACAGCTTCCATTCCTAAGATTATTTTTTCTACTTGTGATTTAACAGTTCTTCTGTAGTTTTGTAAAAATTGAAGATTATTTGGGTTCTTGAAAACATCAAGAATAGGGTCAATATTTTCTTCTTGGGTAGAATTTTTCTTGAAAGCTTCGCTGTAAGAAGAATACTTGGTAGTAAAGCTTACCGATGGAATGTCCTTTATGAGGATGGGAAAGTTAACTGCAGTTTTTGCAGGTGCCAGATTTCTACGTTCCTGTTTCCTTTTTATGTCAGCAAATCTTTTTTGAAATTCAGAACATCCTGAGAATGAATTAACGTGGTTTTGTCCGCATGAAATACACTTGGGTTGTTGACCTTCTTTAAGTTTGCAAGTAGAGCGTCTGTAGCATTCACCGCATTTGCAGCACATTTCATCACTAAAAACATCTATGTTGGGTGTGCTGAAACCGCTGGCATTTATAGCATATATCAGTTTGTTGTTAGAATTCATAGCGTGTTAAAACATTACAAGAATAAGATATCATTTAAAATGTATTAAAAAACTCTCTGTAACTAAATTCAAACCGTTAACGTTCTAAAGCAAAAGAACTACTCACTTGATCATATAAAACTGCGTACGATGCCCACCTTTCAGATTACTACTTGTCAAATTTTCAAATTCTTTCAACTGTCTGCGGAAAACATTAAGTTTCTGCGACAACTCTTTGCGAACATCTGGTAGAGAGTTCTTTATATGGGTTCTTAGCTGCAAGTTTAAAATTTTTTGCAAATAAGGTGTACCCATGCGATCAGCTATATCACTAAAAGGAAAGAAGAAGAGTATGTGACTACTCAATATGCAGCAATTAAAACAAAGCTCCAGTTCCAAATAAACAGTTTTAAAAAAAACTTTTTAAAACAAACATTAGTACTGTTAGTGAAGATTTTAAAGCTAAAAAAATGACTAAAAATTTCTTATATTATGAGCTTTACAATAAATGTCACTTAAATATAAAGGGGGAGAAGAAGGGGTGAACATGACATTTCCCCGTTTTAACAAACAACAAATTCGCTTTTTAACTGGTTCAGAAATCTTAATAACACACATTAGATGAGAGTCTGAAGAAAATTAACTGAATAGGATACGTACGAAAATGAGGGAATCTACAAACGTTAAGGGTTTTCATTATATTTTCTTTAAAAATTTAGACATTTCAAATTTTTTCCTTAAAAATGCGTTAAAAATTAAGAAAATAAGTACATAATTGAAAATTTTAAAAATCTACTGCATACCATGCTTTACGTACGATGCAGACATAAACACACATATATTAACCTAAATTTCACTTAAATTAATTATTAACGATAAGCACAATATATATATAAGAGCACTGATGGTCTTCTTTAATAATAATGTGTTAACGTTAGAAACCACCTTATTTGAAATGCCTGAAATCATAACCAATAATACATAATTTATCTTTCAGTCAGGCAAACCAGATTTTGAACTTGCAAATATATATGAGTATGCTCACTAATTTACATAATAATAAAACATGAAACAATAGTGTCAAACTCAGTTTTTTTCTTTATATTAATTTTCAGTTTTTAATTCCATGATAAGAGCTCATTCCTTAGAAATCATTCAAGTAATTTCCAAGTAAAGACTGGCTTAACAATTGATTCAACTACAGATGATTCAACTACAGAAGATAGCATTTTGAAAAATACTGCGTTGAGTGCTTAAATGCAACAAATTTTGATGCAAACATATAAAGGCCAAAAAAGCCACCAATACGTGACAATAGGTTTGTTTACTGCCTCTAGTCCCAACACTTACTGATTACTAGATTTTTAGGTTTCGATTGGTTTTCGGTTGTGGTTTCAGCATGACGGGGCTCCAGTCTATTTCTGCAATAATGTGCGTAATTACTGCAATGCCACTTTGGCCCTCAATAGATTGGATGAAGTTGACCTATCTCTTTGGCCCACGTTCATTAAATTTATCAAATATCGATTTTTTTCTTATGGTGACACATAAAAGCACTTATCTACGAGAGTCCAACTGATTCTGGTGAGGACCTCATTGCAAAACTTTCAGCGTTGCTGTTCGTCAAATACCTGCCATCTTTGAAAGGGTACGCCAATCACTCGTTAGATGGAGCCCGGCCCGTATTAATGTCGGAGGAACATTTGAGCATTTACTATAATATTATGTGAATAAAGAACGTTTTTCCATTTCCTCGGCATTTCCTGTTTTTCCGCCTACATTTCTCAATTCCGATCCCACACTGCTATAGAAAAAATGTTTCTTTATATGTATTTTACTCTCTTAAGAGTTCAGGGACACATTGTATAATAGCTGCAACCATACACAGGAATTTTTATATCATTTTGAAATGTTGCAAATAAAATATGCTATGAGTACACTTGTACATTAATTGAGTTGATAATATTTTTTTGGGGTAACAATATTTACCATGGAATGCACACAAAATAGTTTAATAACAGCAGCAAGTAATAAAAAAATCATTTATATATATATGCTATGAGTACAATTGCAGATTAATTGGCGTGACAATATTTTTGGGGGCATAACAATATTCGCCATGGAATGCGTATAGAATAGTTAAATAAGAGCAGCAAGTAATAAAAAACTCATTTATATATAGGGTGTCCCGTAAATGTTGCAACAAATGCATAGGAACTCATGCCCAGAAAACTTCACTGTACACTGCCAGTGGATGTTACAGGAGAAGGCTAGTGGAAAATGAGGATTGCCTCATTCGAGTGGTAAGTACCATACGAAGAGAATGGAACACTGTACGAACGGACAACTTGCAGACATGCACTTAGTGTATGGAATAGCTGAGGGTAATGGACGAGCCGCTGCACAAATTTATTGAGAACGTTTCCCCGACAGATATCAACCACCCCATAGTTTGCACGTGTGCATCAAAATTTGTGGGACTACAGGTCATTAAGAATTGACAGGACAAGTGAGGGCAGGCCACAATCGACTCACTCGATCGTTAGAGAAGAAAGTGTGTTGGATACGGTGGAGAGTAATCTAAGGACTAGCATATGTGCTACTGCGTCTCAATTAAGAATGTCTCATACCAGTATCCAGCGTGTCTTGAACGCTGAGTTCTTCCACGCCTTTCGTCTCCAAAGGGTTCAGTTAGTGCTCCCCGATGATCATCCTAAATGTGTGAATTTCGCGCAGTGGTTTCTGCCAGAAAATGCCTATAATGTTAATTTCCTAGATTATGTTTTGTTCACGGATGAGGCCATATTCAATAGAGATGGCGTAATCAATCACCACAATCAGCATTTGTGGGCTCAAGAAAACCCCCACGGTGTGCGGCACCACACGGCCCAACAACGCTTCAAATTTAATGTGTGGGCGTGTTTTGTCGACGACTGCTTAATGCTGCTTGTGGAAGCCATCAAAGCTGTCGTGTATCACGATCCTGTTGTGTCTGAAATGGATCTTGTGGCAAGATTCGCCTGCCCAGCAGCTACTGTGGCAAGACTCGCCTGCCCAGCAGCTACAATCAAAGAAACTCCCGGTGTGTTCGACCATGTCCGGCAATCAATGGTCCGTCGGTGTCAGGCATGTTTGGCGTCTGATGGTGCAAATTTCGAGCATCTTCTGTAACATTCAAGTGGACTTACACCATTTGTATTCACGTCCAATAAATGTTTCAAATTATATCACTCTCTTGTTTCCTTTCCCATCTTCTACCTCTGCTACCACTAACACCTGACATTTCTGTGCATGGGATCCTATGCAATTCTTAATCCTCATGATGTGCCCTACCTCCCTTAGAAGTTTGCTGCAACATTCACGGACACCCTGTATATTGTTAACATGAAATTTAATATGTCTTCATACGAAAATTACATATGTTGATTCATTAAGTACCTGTAACATGGAGTATTTGCAAAAAAATGTCTTTCTTTTTCCAAGGCATATTGTATATCTTTCCCAGAATCAATATCCATTTGACTGCGATTCAAAACACCTACATAACCTAAAGTGCAAACAAATATGCCCTAAATATGATAAATTAAACTTCACATTTAAAATTACATTGGCATCATCAATAAAAATTCAGGATATTTTGAAAATTTAAATACTGTAAGAGAAAAAAAATCAATATTGAAATTAGGTGAGTAAAATTAAGATCGAACTACAATGAAATAACATCAAAAAAAACAATCTGTATTTATTTGGCATGCCAAATAAGAATATCTCAGTTAAAACTGCTCATTAATGCAAGTTTGGAGTTCGATGGGGAGTACTTAATCAAAAATTGACACTGCAGCCATTCATATGTTAATTTCCTCACAATTCATTTTAGTTGTAGATATTGTTTTTCAGCTTTCTCTAACTCATCATCTACTAAGCTGGCATACTTAAAACAGTTCTTTTAGGTATTTTTTGAGCTGAAAGTCAAAGACATGTTCAGCAAATGCAGCTCATCAAGAAGTTAGTTTTCAGCGTTATGGTTATATGCACAGTGACGTTATTTTTCATCACTATAACTAAATCCACTCATAGTACGGTTGACGTCGAGAAATATGATATGAAAAAATGAACATTTAATGACTGCTGTTTCTAGAGATGAAAAAAAGTTCAATTTTTCTTTTTTCCTGGGGTGTGTGTGTGTGTGTGTTTTATTTGAAATTGCAATAGTAATTTGCTGTTTATTAAATTGTTAAATTGCGATCATTGTCTATAAATATATGTTTTATAAGAAGTTTGTCTTCGTGTCTCAATATTTAATTATTTTTCTATCATTGTGAATTCTTTTAGTCTAGAAGGAAATCAGTAACGAAATCTGGCATCCGTGACCAGACAGGACATTGAAGAAAGTGAAAACGTACGTATGGCAAAAAAGTTAGTTTTGTAATGTTCCCAAGTACGAAATTAAGTAATTCGTAAGATGAAGAAAAATTCTGAAGCAATCATTTACAGTCGCATCTATTAGAATTGAATTACTTCCATAGAAACTGAAAGACGTTGATGAACTGAAAGACTTCAGACAGTTACAAGATAAACTGAGACGTAGAGACAAATTTTTCAGTTATTACTGAAATTGAAAGAAGAAATTGAATATGTAATTGATTGCAATAAAAATAAAGAATACAGGGATAAAATTGCTGTAATGAAAAGGAAGTAGACTGTAAAATGTTTAGCATTTAGAAAAACTTAATATCAGCTTTTAGCACAGGTTCTTTTTTCTACTTCAGAGAATAATGAAAAGCGAAATTTTTTGCTTCTACAGTTACAGCTGCAGAAACGTTATGGCGAAAGCAGAAATTGGTTGGGATTTTGGGTTCAGTTCAGAAAGACTGTTGATGACAAAATTCAGTGATGAAAACGACAAGTTTCAGTATTTCTTCAAGCTACAGTTGCTAGATCTCCAGCAAGAGAACTTTTAGAAAATTATTTCCCACCTAGAGCAAATTACAAAGAAGTTCTTAAATAGCTGAAGTCAAAATTCTCACACAAGGAGTTATTAGAAGAAACTGATGTATGTAAACTTTTAAATTTGATTTTGGATCAAGCCAAAAAAAATGGAACTATGTCACTGGCAAATTTATATAATATGTTAGAAATACAGCTAAGAACATTAAAAAAAGTAGATGTTAAAAGTAATACATAAGCTGCAAAGCTTTATACTCTTGTTGAATGGGCGATTCCAGAAGAGCTATTAAGAGTATGAGAACTTTCTTCTTGTTAAAGTCAAAAAAGTCATATGTTAAAAATAATCTGTCGAATTTCTCACGGTAGACACTGAAAGTGAAGAAAGACTTCACCTTACGAGAACAGATTTTCCACGTTGGAACAAAGATGTTTCTGTACCGGCCACAGCTACTTGCGTTTATGCAGAAGAGTTGGAAAAAATGAAACATTTATGTGTTTTGTGTGCTATAAGCCCCGAAATTTCATTAGAAGAAAAAAAAATCTGAAATGTTTCAGATTTTAAATTACGTCCAAAGGGGCGTTTTTTAACATTTTGTGTGTTACCTTTCTTTATTAAATATCATGTTCCTCGCACTTAAACCATAAGATCCAGTGCAACAGCAATATCGCAAAATAGTTTTAAAACGAGCATATCTTTAGAATTTCCGATACAGAGACTCACGCGCTGGAGATAAAAATGTTTTTTCTGCACAACGTTGCCATTGCTCGCTTTGAAATCCTTGAGTTTGTTAATCAAAAATTCGTCAAAGTTTAAAAAAATAGGAAATCGATCATAAAACAAATTTCAAATTTCAAATTTGGTCTTCCACATGCTCATATTCGTTGGAGGATTACGTTATTCAAAATTCGATGACTCTATGTACCGTTGTTTTATCACAATACGAGAAATATACATACATTTATGCAGATTTTTCATTATTTAATTTCTTCAAATATAATGCAGGACTCTAACATTTTGTGGCAACAGTTTGAAAAGTGAACCGACATTTATGAGTCCGACGCAAAATGCCAAAACGAAACTAATAGTCCTTCGGGATTCAAATCCCTTTGGACTAATAAGAAGTCCTTAATGAAAAAGAAAAAATAATTTTTATGCTTTTCAGAAGTAGTCATATGAATGACAAATGCAAGAATTCTGTGAACTGCGTTCTGTGCAATAATCATGTGACATATGTGCAGAGAATTCAAAACGTTCTCAGGGTCAAAAGGCGTACGGTTCCAAAGAAACCACAGCTTCAAATTAAGTTCTTTTGCCTAACCAAAAGACGCACATTATTTTGAAAACAATTTCAATGAAAATTAACCCCAATGAAAGCTTTGGTTTAGTGTGTTTGACTAAGGAGCTCAATGATCGTAATATGAAAAGACATAGTTGAGGAATTATATGTAATTTCATCAATTCAATAGACTAGTGGTCTTCAACCCATGGACCACAAGGCACGTGTGGCCTGCTGAAGTGGCCCCACTTTTGAATTTGAAGAAAAATTGAAAAATTTTAAGAAATTTTGATTTTAAGAAAAATTGCCTTGTGAGGTTTTCGTCGTAAAAAACGTTTTTTCTTTTATTCTTGATATTCAAAATATTTTATTGACATGCCTGATGTTACTTGAGATAAAAGTTTGTGAAAATGACGAGTTTTTCAAAAATTTCACTTCATTTTATGAAATTTTAAAAATAAAAAATTTGACTACGCATAAAATCTCAGTTCCATAAAAAGGGTAATCTCTAGCAGGTTTGCAAGAGACGTCAATCTTTCGTCATTACTTCGCCAAAGCTCAAGGTGCCGCATGAGTTTAGTGATGAAAAATGGTTGAGAGACTGTGTTGATATTACAGGTCATCTCAAGTGTCTGAACTACCGCTTACTGGGAGAAGATCTACTTGTTCATAATCTTTGTTGATTTGTGAAAATTAACCCTGTGGAAAGTCAGTTGCTAAATAAGAATTCCACTCACTTTCCAAAATTGATGGAGTGTGAGAAGAACTCTACAACATGGAATTCAAATAATTATGTGCAATGCATTTCAGATTTGAAAGAGGAATTCAAAAGCAGATTTTCCGATTTTCGTGAAAATGAAATTTTTATGAGAATATTCTTCTTGCCATTTTCAGTAGATGTTGGAAGTGTTCCACCGGAACTTCAATTAGAATTTATAGATTTTCAGTGTGACTCTGCAGTAAAATGCAAGTTTCTTGAAAATCGTACATTAATTGATTTTTATTCGAAGTACGTAATCAAAGACTCCAGGAATTCGTAAACATGCACCCTTTCATGTTTTCTACCTTTGGAAGTACCTACATATGTGAACAGCTTTTTGGTAAAATGAAAATCCTAAAATCGAAAACAAGATTTATTTCTTAAATTATAAAATAATAAATTATTTATTATTTCTTAAATGTTTAAGAAAGAAATAAAAAATAACTACAAATGACAAAAAAAGGACTAAATAAAAAATGAGTGCTTCCCATGAATGAACATTCATCAAATGTAAAGCTCCAGATACAACGAAAAGACATAGCACATAAAAACAAGTTTATTTAAATTTCGTTGAATTTATTAGTTCAACAGATCTTCATAAACTTGGAAACTGAGTTCCTTGGTACATGGTTAAGAGAATTTGGCAAGGTAAAATTTAAAATAAACAAAAAAGCAACCTTAGTTTCGTGTAACTTTTTTTCAGAAGTAATTGTTTTTCTTCTTTTTTACTCCTACTAAGACAAACCTTTGTCTGAGCATCTTCAACAAAAGGTTGCTTTTTAATTTTAAAGAGAATAAAACCAAGCATGCTTAATCCCATATTTGGTGATATTTTTCGGTCATTTGGCAATTTGTAAAATTAATTTTGATATACTGGCAAATGTAAATCACACTAAATGTTATTTCCCATGTTTTTGGATACAAATAAGCAAGACTTCAGCAATAAGTATTTCAACAGGTTTTCATCCGCAGAGAACCCGTTGGCGCTTCGGGAAAGAACCCGTTGGCGCCGTCGCATTTTTACTCGCCAAGCTCGCGGTTCATCGACGATGATCCGAGCCGTAAACAGATTCTTTGCCGTAAACGTGATTTTTAGTGCATGTAAATTCAAATTATCAAACAAAACAATATATTAAGCATGTGGTAGTAAAAATTCACAGATAATAAGCATGTAGATGTAAAAGTAACCGGTTAAACGTGATATATTCATTTAAAAATATAAATTAGTATAATTGTACTGAAATTAACCGGTTAAACGCGATAAACGAAAAAAAATTGTCTTAAATTCCAGTTAACACAGAAAACAATATATTCCTTACACCAGCAGTGGTTTGCTAATTTTGATAACCATGGTGATGCATCAAACTATTCTGTCATCTTAGATAATCAATAATATTTTTGATTTCAATTTAATCATCTATTTATGTCACACCTGCCATCGTCTGAAAGGTTATTGTTAGAAAAGCATTAACATTATCTCGTTAAAATTTTACGCCATCAAAATTGATTTATTCTCATAATTTTAGATGACAATAACTAATAATAAAAATAGCATTATTTATTTATTTAAAATGCACATACACATTTTTGCGGCCTACGGAAACAAATTATTTTAGAGGTTGGAAACCTCATGATTTTGCTCATGGTTCTTAAGAGCTGTTAATAATTAAGAACACAACGTGAACAGCCTTGTTACAAATTAGCATTCACCCCTCCCGCCGTATTTTCCTCCTTTCATCCCCGAGGAGAACCGGCATCTATCTACGAAAATAGTATTTCTATCTATTCATTGTTAAAAAATTCAGAAAAAATAATAATAAATAAGAGAAGAATAATATAAATCTGCAAATGCGAACAACAACAGTGATAATTCAACAAAATGAACGCAAAAGGAATGGTTGCAAACTTCGAACAAGCGAATAGGATAAATCTGCTGGGTTACCAGTTTTGAACTATTATCGCCAAAGTTGGCGATGTTTACATTTACCGGGTTCTCTGCGGAAGTGCTTCCATTTCAATAACAATATTAAAATTATGGCATTAACTGCAATTATATTAGGTGGCTTCGATTATACGGAGCAGGAATATATATGAAAGATTTCAAAGATTTAGTCAAACAAACGATCTACCACTCACGAGAACTACTCTCACCAGTATCACTCATAGAGCATTTTTGACAATGAGAAACTGTCACCAAACAGTGGGATTTAGCACCAGTAATCATTACGTGTGACAACACACACACAATCGTAAGATCTTTACCTTGATTTTATGTAAATCTGATTAATTCTAAAAAATATGGTTTACTTTTTTTTCTGAGAATGATATAAGTTAGCAGCTAGAGAGCTGTATTTAAGGTGCAATAAACATTAAAATACCTCATTTGACCAGCATAAATATTCTCGAAATCACAATATTCTATTAACGATGAGAACTGCTGTTACTAATTTGCTTTGTCATATGTTGACAAAAGAATTTTCCTTATTAACAAATTTTTTGACTTAAATTAATGGGCATTCTTTTCATGAATTTTGTCACTGACTGGAAATTAGTAAACAGAGTTTGTTCTCTGAAATCAAACCAAAGTTATATCATACAATTCTTTATATGGCTAAAAAAGTTTTTCCTTTAAATGTTTTGATTTAATTTTAACGCAAAGAAAATAGCTCAGCTTCTCTCCAAGGAGAATTTATTTTCCATCTTTACATTCCCTTCACTTGATAACAACATTCTAACCCCGCACACTGAAATATATCTACTTATATTTTGCTATCAGATTAAATTAACTTTACTCTGAGCACATAAATATGCTGACAGATCAACATAAAGCTCAACAGTTAAAAAACTATTGTATTACATGCAGATAAATTAATCACATCACTCAGAAGAATTTTATCATGCGCTTCTACCATGCTAATTTTGTCATGCATTAATAAACTGACAATAGAAATTAGACAATATAGTTAATGCATAAGGAAAAACACAAACTGTTAACAAGAAATAATTGAAAAAAATATCAATTCAATTTTAAAATATCAGTAATTAAGTGCAACCTCTACTAAGATAAATCTTTTTGTTATCCAGAATATCACGAGCATCTGTTCCAGAATCCATCAGGTCTAGCTTTGTCAATACACCTATTGTTCTGTCCCCTGAAAAAAGAAAGTATAATCTCAATTTTATAATGAAATATTACTTTACAGTTTTTTTTTTCAAAGAACTTCAGAAATGGTTAAGTATTTTTTTTACACAGAAATCATTCAAAGAATTTCTAGTTTTGCTGCGCAGATCTAAGTACTTATTTCTCTTTTAAATGAAACAAAGACAACAGCTTTAAACATTAATTTATTAGCCCAAATTGGCGTTACTCCAGAAGGGCTATTACTCTCCATTTTGGGTTGAATCACTATGAAAATCTGAATCACTTTTCAAATTGTTGCCACCAAATATTACGCCCTGCATTATATTTAAAGAAATGAAATAATCAAGAATTTTTATGAATGTATGTATGTATGTATGTTTCTCAGGGACGTCTTTAAGACTTCTTGAGGTCCTGGGCCCCTATGCTAAAGTAGGCTCCACCTCCGTCCCTTTTATTTCAATATTTAATTAATAAGTTTAATAAAAGCAATCAATAATGAAATGAAGTTTTATTACAAAATTCTTTTTCTACATATTAAATTTGCGAAATCGTTAATTGTTTCTTCAAAATCAACTGCTAATAATATTTCATTTTCAATATTCATCTAACTTAAATTATTCAAACGAGATTGAGTCACACGATTTCTTAATTCATTTTTGACCAGTATGAATTTTGAAAATGAAACTGTGAACAGTCTTTTATTATACATGCATATATCGAGTGTACTGGTACCAATCCCAGTCTCTACATTCAACAAGCGTTCTTCATCGTCATCCGCGAAATTATATTTCTTATAAATCTTCCTTTCTTCCATGTCTTCTCCTTGTTTTCCCTCAGATATATGTCTAAACAGCTTATCTGAATGGAAAAAAAATGATGGAGGTATATCCATGTCCCAACCAGAAGGTTTCGTAACTTTTCAAGACAAATTTTGCAATCTAAAGAAGTCAATCGTCGGACGTAAGGTAGGTAGCACATGCGCAGATATGCAGGTAGACGTAATGGGGGAGTGTCTGAGTAGTATAAAGCATGTTGCCGGTGTAAGATCAGTATTTCTGACAAAGAGATTGCACGCCGTATATCAGTTAAAATCACGCCGAGTTGCTGCCTCAGCGAGAAATGGCGAATAATCAATCTGTTAGACGACATCTGGATGCTTTTACCCGAGGTCGAATCATTGGGAAGTTGGAAGAAGGCCGCAGTGTGACAAGTGTGGCTGCAGAATTCGGAATTGCTCACAGCATCGTTTTACGACTTTGGAGACAATTTCAAACTACAGGAACAGCTATCCGGGGGTTTAGTAGTGGTCGTCCACGAGGAACCACACCCGCAGATGACCGGTATATTGCCTTACAGGCCAAAAGAAACAGGCGCCACACAGCGGGAGAAATCGCTAGACACACGACACAGGCGACTGGACGACCGATATCGCGTTTTACCGTGGCCAGAAGACTGCACGGTGGTGGTCTGTTTGCACGACGCCCTGTACGGTGTGTACTTCTAACGCCTGCTCATCGGAGAAGGCGTTCTCTGTGGTGCCGGGAACACCGGAATTGGAGAGACAATGAATGGGGACAAGCACTCTTTACAGATGAGAGCAGATTCAGTCTGAGTAGCGATTCTCATCGCATACTCATCTGGAGAAAGCAGGGAAGCCGCAATCATCCCTCGAACATTATTGAAAGGGACAGGTATGGAGGTGGCGGTGTTCTCGTTTGGGGAGGCATCATGCTTGGTAGTCGTACAGACCTTCACATCTTCGACGCAGGTTCAGGCAAGTTATTGTAACGAGATTCTTCTTCCATATGTGCGTCTTTTTAGAGGCGCTATGGGTCCGCAGTTCCTTTTCATGGACGACAATGCACCATGTCATCGCACAATAGCTGCCGAACAGCTCTTAAGAGAGTGCGGATATTGAACGTTTGGATTGGCCGGCACGATCTCCGCTCCATGCTACTTTTTCAATAAAGCTTCTTTTTATCCCTCTGATTTCTCTTTTAGTAAGTGTTGCTTACATTACTCATGTTCTTACGTATTGGGGATCTTACGGTATTAAATGTGTTGATTTGGAAAGCTTTTGTACAAAGTTGTATTGAAAAAAACCGTCTCGTCCTTAATTTTTGCATACCAGTGTCGTTCGACCGTCTCAAGCGCAACCCTGGTTGGCATTCTGCCAAAACACATAAACTCATCCAAAAGGGGCGCTATTACTTGCTGCGACTTGAAAGGTCTTCTCCGGAAAGAGCTATGCTGGAAGGAAAGAAAGTTCATCCACCCTATTTTGAGAATAATTCCGTTCGAATGGCGCCTGCGTATGTGCGCTCATGGTCGCGGATGAGGCGTTCGAACTATACTAATATTTCTGACAGACGACATGGAAACTGGAAGTTACCGTCTTCCACCACCAAGTCAAGGTTTTTAAAGATAAAATAAAAGACACAATTTCCCCCTTTTTAAAGTATTTTTATTATGCATTGTTTTCATTGTCGCCTGACAATGTGAACAGCTCTGTACACTGCCTACAATTCGCTATTGCCTACGATTCAAGGTTACCTCTATTTCGTATTCAGGGCACTATGACGGCCCAAGGATACTTGGATAATGCACTGCGACCGGTGGCAATTCCCTACCTTCAGGGGCTGCCTAATGCAATTTTTCAGCAGGATAACACCCGACCAGACAGTGCTCGCATCTGCCAACATGCTCTGTAAGGTATACAGATGCTTCCCTGGCCACCGTACTCTCCTGACATGTCACCAATTGAACATGTGTGCGATGTGATTGGACGCCGTTTGCAGACTCTGCCCCTGCCTCCTTCAGAAGACGAACTGTGGCAAATGGTTGAAAGGCAATGGAGAGACATCCCTGAGGACACCATCCGCACTCTTATTGACTCTATGCCTAGACGTGTTTCTTCGTGCATTGCTGTCCGCGGTGGTTATCTGTTGATTATCTGTTGTTAACTGATATGTTGATTATCTAGTTGTTAAAATTGCATCTTAAGAACTATTTAGGCAATTTATCACAGAAATCTGCATTTTTATATAAAAGAAAACTTTGACAGCTCTAGTCAGCTACTGTGGAATGAGAGATAAGGCGTTTAGTGCAAATGTTTTGTGAACCTCGCGATTGGTTTTATATTACCTCAGGAACAATTAAAGTACTGCTTTATACATAAGATAAATTGATTAAAATAATGTCTTACTTTTGGGATCCACTTCATAAGCAATATTTAGAGCATCAGAATTTGCTATGTCTTGGTTAGCTGGGCTTACAGCTAAGATGAGGCTATTGGGTTGCTTGATAAATTTTAACACCATATTTCGTACTTCTTCTATGCTGCTATCAGGCTGACCATTGACAACATTCCTTATAAGGCCTGGTAAATCAACTAACGTAAGTTTCAGAACTAGAAAGAGAAAGTTTCAAACATCAGAATCCTATACTTCAGATAATTTTAGAGTTAATATATTATAAGAATGTGCATTAAGATTATTTTTTTGCTTATGCCAACACTATTAATAAAATCGTATTTATAACATCAGGTCTGGCAATGACATTGAATTATCTCAGCTTTTATGCTTGTCTTTTCCCAGAATTAAATTTCAAAGATACCAAGTACATTTAATAGATTTAAAAGAAACAATTTTTGTGATGCACCTGTATAAAATAGTTAAGGCTCATAATCTGACGGTATTGATTCATGTAGCCCAGTTGTTCCTAAACGTTTTTACCCCGTGTACGCCTTTCACCAATGCTAGATGATCATTTCCCTTCCCTCCTTTCAAAAACTCGAAAAATACATATACATTTTGTAGGGATTATTTTATTTTTCTAATACTTATTTTTAATTTTGAAACCCTTTCCTTTAAACTCTTTTTTCCACGTACAACTCCCTGCCAGAATGAGATTTCCGTATCGCGTTTTATGTAAATGAGGTATGTTAATGAGATTTAACAACACTCACGTAACATCTCACTTTCGTCTGATGTAAACCTTATTGACTATCAGTTCTGTGAAAGGTGTGAGGAATGAGGATTTTTTACATGGTGTGTTTTCCCTTAAAACGATCTTTACTATATATATATATATATATATTATAAAATTAATTAATATGCTATCTTTATATATTCTTACACACAATAAATCACTAGAAGACACACATACAAGAAATCACACTTTAAAACATGCTAATTTTCTCAATCAGATGTAAATGAAACGGAGTGCAATTACAAATATTGCATCTCCATTTGCTTATCGTTTTAAAATTTTGTTAGTTGTGCCCATCAAATACGCGCTTTTTCGACGGTTAAGATCTCCCATAATTTTGGAAAATAATCCTACCACATGCTGTTCTACAGAAGGAAAGTCCCAAATTTCAATTAATCTTTTTCAAAATGGACGAACAAATACAGCAATAACAGTTAATTTATATCTATGTTCATAAAAACAAAAGGTGGCTTAAAGGGAATCTATCAAACGAAAGATCAAACGTAATATGAATCACTACACGGTAACCTTATAATTTCTAAAAGAAAATGCACGTAAGAAAGAAAAGCGACCAAAACTTAAAATTTTAAATTATAAAACATTTACCTTTAGGTGAATATATTTTCAACGAAATCGGCTTCGAGGAAAACCCTGTAGGTCCTGGATCTCTCATTGTTTCTTTCTCAATTTCCTCTTTTACCTCTGCGAAATCATAATATTTTCCCTCCTTGTGCAAAAATTCAGCATATTCTAAAATGAGAAAAAGTATGAACTCGCGCATGTACTGCAACAGTTAAACTTGAAATTACACTGAAGCAGCTGCAAATAAAATGACAGAAATCACGGATACTAGAAAAAACAGACAGACAAAAATCAAAGATCTTTTATCAAAATAATTTACCATAACACAGTTGGTAAAGATAGGTTCCATATACCACGGTTTAAAAATTCAATGTAACACTACTAGAGAGATTTTTTGTTATTACCAACTTTTTGAACTGATCACAAATAAATATTGAATAAAAAATGCTAATTCGTGGATTCATTTGCATATAATACCCTTTTAAACCAACCGACCAGCCAACGATTTTAATCTGAAATCGCAAAATTTCCAAACTGGATTTAGAATCAAGCAGTTTTTTTTATTAGAATACAAAAATGCTGCTGGTACTTTATGCTTGTAGTATTTTTTTTTAGTATACTGTTTAAATTTCTTGGATACACTTATTTAAAGAGGTTACAAAAAGTATTCACTGCTTTATATATGGCCTGGGCCGGACGGACGGTTGGCAAAATAGATGCAATCGGAAGGCAAAATAGATGCAATCGCAATCTATTTTGCCAACCGTCCGTCCAATTGCATCTATTTTGCATCTATCAGCCATGTACGTTATCAGGAAGATGTGGATTAATGGTACAGAATATTTTCTGCAAAAGCATTTTGTACCATAAATCCACACACTCTTGGTAACATTTTTGACAGTTTTAAAAATACTTAAAATGTGCGAGACTTCACTTGTTTTGGGTTTGGTTTATTTTGGGTTACACGATATTTTAATTTGACCTCATTTAAATTGACCAACGGTTTCATACTTTACCCATTTTTTCTATGCAATGCGTACACGGAGAATGTGCCATTAATACGTCTCAGTGGTTCATCGTTTTATTATGAACTGTAATCTCTGAAACTTGAAATAATAAACAATTAAGAAAAATTTTGTGCATCTTAATATCGGTCACAGCAATACTACAGTCTTCTATTTACTGTAATAGCTCTAATTTAGATAACACTTTGAACTACATATACTACATTTTATTTATATACAAAAAAGATTTCAGCTGGGTGCTTTGTTTCACACATGCTGTTAGCAAATCCTTCGGCGTCGGAACAAGAAGTATTAATTTAACTATTCTAAAGCTACTAAAGATTTCTTGCACACAAAAATCACAGAAGTATTTTATCACACTTAAAGTCATGCCCTAGCAACGTATCGTTTTATCCATCTATGATAATGGCCAAAAACTTGTTAGTTTGGTACTTTCGCACACTGTTTATTAAAATGAATTCAGTATACTGTAGAATTAAGAGAGAATTATGATTCAAAATTATGTTACGCTAATCGCTGGAAGACTGTGGAAATATTTTTTGTTTCGTATAAAAGGTAAAAATAATAAATTAAAATATTTCATTTGTGATTTAGTAGAAATCAGTGTATATTTATTTTAACTAACAAGTTTAATTTTAAACTTTCCTATAGGCCTTCATTCTCCTAATTGTCAATGCCAGAATACTTAAATTTGGTAGCGAGGCAAATTCTATGTTCAAAAAATAGTTTAAAAACCGAGTTTCGGTAGGAAAGAGGAAGAGTTAGGCTACAGTTGTCACCTCTGCTGTTTAAGCGTTTGCTCGCAGAGTTATTGCTGGTTCACGTGGTTAATTGCATTTACTTGCGGCCACTAGTTTTCGACGGGGATTTAATAAACGGAATTTAGCTGAGCCCTGTAATTTAGTTCTATCACTTGTACATATCTTCAAATTTTTAGTTTCATTATCTGATTTTAGTAACTTCCCAACAAGAGGCGTAGTTTGTTCGCGTCGAGTTGACGCATTGTAAATTTTCTGTGAAGTTACTCCTTTTCCAGTTTTCACACAAAAGTGAATGTAGTCAACTCTACAAGTGAATAACAGAGTTAGTGTTCAAAGTTGTGAACGAAAAGCACATGATAAGGCTACTATAACCAATAACTAATCTTAAAAAAATTAATGGAAACGCAGAAGTCACTGCCATGAGCAAATTAATCACTAAATTTCGCGAATGTACATAGAGCTTCTGTTATTTGTGGTTTATATTATTTTTTATGAAAACGGTGGCGTGCTTGTTCATGTTTCTTTTTTCTTCATCCCATCGTTGGGATTTTTCTTATTTCAATCAGTGGTCAAACGCGTAACAAACCGGATTATATGTTGAAATGCAGCTCAGTTATTGACATCTATCCTCCCCCCCCAAAAAAAAATTCTCGAAAACATCTGTATAGCTGTAGAACGTTTCTTTTGGAGAGGAAGAACATCAGCTGCCGGTGTGCTGTTTATTAAGTGTTCTTTCTTGTGCTTTTTTGGCTTAAAATCATTAGAGGTTTATCAGAGCAGAAAACAATAAAATTTACGCTGCCTTCGCAGGGATTCGAACTTCGAATCCATCCCCCCATTGGTACTTCTAATTACACCTCAAGGGCCCGCTGTTGAGGAAGAAGAATATACTTTACAACAGGACTCTGTCTTTCCATATATTAATCGTATGCATGTCTATCTTTTAACTAAAGGATCAAATATCCAAAAATGTCACATAAAGTTCGAGAATTTAAAAGCAGTTTCACTGAAGATAGAAGAAAATCAGTTAACAATTCAGGAATTTATGCAGTAAAACATTTGTAGTAATCTACGGATAGTCATGGGTCGTCGGAGAGGAATAAGAAACTGATGGCAAGCGGAGAATCCAGATAAGGTTATCAGGTTCAATGTTTCTTCTAACCTTCTTCGGAAACATACAATGACCTGACTAGAACAGAGAGCTTACTAAAGCTATGTTCACTAATTGTAGTAAGTAGACAGGATACAGACGAAGGGTATACAAAACCCTTTATTTTTTCTTTATATACAATGACTTCCGTACTTCGGAATACAATGACCCTCCACTCGGGGTCTAACTTAAAAGATATCAAAATAAAACTAAACTCTAATTTAACTTTAGAATAAGATTGGCCTTATAATAACAGAAAGCGTATGTAGCACAGAGACTGTGAACACTACAATACGTTTTAATTTATCAAGAGGATTAAAACCTCTGGCCTGGAAGGCAAAGTAGCAAACTGCGTAACTTCTAAGGTAAGCGGCCTGCTTCGAACTCACGGCTTCCTCTCCTCTGCTTGGCAAAAAGGCCACACTTAAATACTTGGCGTTCGCCAGACAACTTTGCATAAACTCCTTCACGCTTATAATTCTGGCCGGAAGTAGAAAATAAGAAGTGATAGTAAAGATTTAAAATAAAATAAACGTTAGTAAAACTTAAGATCCTTACATACTTCCCGCCAGAGTTAATTAGTTTGAAACTGAGGTCTAAAACGACCTTGTTGAAAACTTTTAGCTCTAGAAACTAACGCGAGGCCAACCTTTTACAGTCATAACTTAGCTAGAAACTAGAAAATTTTAAAAGAAAGAAATTTGTTACAATAGCAGCTCCCGGAATATACAACAATCTTTTTTCTTTTTCATCTGTACTGCATCAAAACAGGAGCTTTATTCAATTCTGGTTCCTTCCAGAGATCTGGAAGGAAAACTAGTTTAATGAAATGTTACAGAATGACATTGCAAATAACATATAGAATATACTTTTCTTAACATTCTTATTTCATTCATGACTATTTTAATTATCTCTCCCCGTGCTCTCTGACATGTGTTGTAAAAACACCAAACACGAATGTGTTTCTGTCTATGTGTTCAACACTTCCTCCTACAATCAAAACACTAACGTGTTAAAATTCAACATACGAGACCTCTTAACACACACCCTAATTTCAACTCTAGACCCTGAGGTACTATTCTGAAAGTGGCTAACTCTAAAGTGTAGCGTCAGAGAGCCTAACTACATCATTCAACCTTTAAACACATATTCACCATGATTTAATCTTTACAGTCACACGAATAACAAATTTTTTAACATTACTTTCACTTTTACCATATCACGGTATTTCTAAACATTCAAAATAACAGTTCACATGTATACAAGAACGTATCAAGATGCCGTTAATTTTACACATTTGAAAACATACATTAGTAGTACATTGTTAAACTTCTATTCTTTTCAAAGCAAGTGCCAATTCTTTCTACATTGAAATAATACTACATTTCAAAAAGTCTTTCAGACTAAACTTCTTTCTTGTTAGAATGTTTTAAATAAAATTTATACAATAACTTTTTACAATATTTAAGTCTTTACACAACGGTATTATACATCAACTTTAGTTTTTACGCGCGAGTAATTGAAAAAACATAATAAGAAAATCGGTCACAACTCATTTCTCGCCCTTTGGCGATAAAGGTAGACCTCGCATGAGGTAAAACTTCTTGAAATCTGCCACTTGCAGTAAGAATGAAAGATTAACTTAAGTTTGTAAAGTAACATAAAATTTTACTTATCTTTGTAATATTCAGACATCCTTTTCTGGGCCCAGTCTTTAAAGGTGCTGCAGACCGTAGCTTGGTTGATCCTCCTTCTTGTACGGGCTCGCCCTTCAGTGCTTTCCTCTGGAAGCTTCCGTTTTTCACCACTACGGCCACCCTTGAACATCTTCCTTCTGTCCTCTGCTTGTGGTCTTGGCCGTTTGAAGGCAGCTGGTCTTGGTGGAACCGGGAAACTTCTGTCGTGATCCTGCTTGGACCTCGTTGTTGGCCGTTCAAATTTTTCTTGTACTTTTTTCCTCCGCCGCTGATGGCCCTTCCGCAGTTCGGCGACTTTTGCTGCGGAGAGTTTCTGTCGGATGAGTCAATCTTCCGTTTCGCAGCCGGGGTTATAGTTGCCGTCCTTTCTCCCGGTCTTTTCCACATACGTCGTCCTTCTCCCTTCTTCATTCTGGGGTGTTCGTGAACTCTGTTTTTGGACGGTGGAACGGCTTCTTTTTTCTTTGTACCTTCAATTTTTCCGCGGGGCAATTTTCTTTTCACTTGCTTCTGTCTCTCATTGGCTTGCCCTTGT